AGCAATTATGTTTTTAAATTATTTAATAAAAGATGGAGGAAGAGAGAAAAAACCTCTAAGCTCATATTTATGTATATATTATATATAATTTATATATGATATATATATCTAATATGACATATAACATGTAATATATATACTATATGTATATATAATCATAATAAATGATCTGTGGTTCTTCATTTCCATTCTCAAACTTTTTTACAAGTGAAATGAAGACCCATAGATCATTAGGCTATTCCCAAGGGGTGGCAGGACCTCTGAATGATAATAGGCCCAATGGCCTATTACCCTTATGGTAGGGATGGTAAATCTTATCACATAGGCTGTCTCTTCAGTTACGGTGGCAGCAAGAATCACTCTGTAATCTGGGCTCTGGGGTCCTTCTTGGGATCAATGAGCAAAATGGCGTCACTGACAACCTGCTGTGTGTTTTGTGGGCACCAGGGAAGTGAGAAGCAGCATAAATGCCATGTATTTATCATCCCACAGATGGCATGTGCATGACTTCTGAAGACTTAATATGAGTTGGGGGCTTACGTGGAAGTGAGCTTTTTGTTTCTGGCTTGATAATGCCGTAAGTGTTAAGCCTCCTGAATTTACTTAATCATAACCTTGAAAGGCCGTCTTTGAATACCAGTAGAGTTTCAATAGCAAATAAAGACAGTGGTTGCAAATCCATTCATTTGACGTGTTTGTTTCCATCCTTAGGAAATCCTGCTGCCTGTCCTTCTCCCAAGTGTGCAGACAAACCAGACATTTCTCCCACTTTACTGTTACTGATTACTAAGCTGCTGCTTCTGGCATTATTTCCTCTTGAACCATATACAGTTACCTTGTAGAGACTTCCTTTGACAGAGAGAACTAAGCATGGTCGGCTTCAGTTTTTCCATTAGATTTTTCTTTGGGAGCTTCCTTTTGGAGGTCATCACTCATTATTTTTAGTGTTAAATTCTTACAGGACTTTGTGGAGCTAGAGGAAATTGAACATGTAATGTGCCCTATATATCATTTCAAGGCTTAAAATCTGCAGCCATCAGCATGCCCAAGGAGTAGTAGATTGGTTAGAACGTTTTGGCAGCACGTGGTTTGCTCAGAGTGGTTCAAAAGAAGTAAACATATGAGGACCTGCTCATTTATTATCTGTCTGCCCTGTAAGGTGTTGATTAGCACAGCCCTGGCCCACCCAACTTGACTGACCTCAGAAGAGGAGAAAATACAGGACTGGGCAGGAGTATTGATGCTTTCAGAGCAGGAAAACAGATTACAGGTATAGCAGATGGTTTGTAGATTCACTGTGGCTTTTAAGAGATTTATATCTTCAGCCTTTAATTTTATTTCATTAACATTTTTATGAATATTTTCTTGAAGGCAATATTTTCACAAATTTCAAGGCCAACTAGAAAGGGATTTTGTTTTTCCATCAACTGAAGACAGCATTATCAATGTATTTAAGTGATGCTGAGAACTCTGTGTGGTCCTGTTTTTCTCCTCTAGCTACTTGCTGCATTTTCTCATTGTTCCTTCCCTTAGGATTCCATTTCTGTGATAGGGTATGTCCACACGAGCATATGGCAGGTATTTGTGTAGCAGAGGAAGAGACTTGTGTGCACACACCTGCACATCATAACATAATTAGAGGACATGTTATTTTATACTCTAAACTAAGCCGGGAAGTTAAACTCAGTAAACCATCAAACTCACTGTTACTGTTGATTGTTTATTGTAATGGACATCTTGCAAATTAATTCTGAGTATCTACCATGTACCAGTTTCTAGATTAAGTAAGCCTTGATGAGCATGATGAGCGTGATAGACACGATTTCTCCGTTAACGAGTTCTTTTGTCTAAGAGTTAATGTTAAAAAGGACGTATTCACATAGTTACTAATATTCAAGAGAATTTGGACAAGATACAGTCTCGATCATTTGAAATAGTTTGCCCGTATGCCATCACGTGTTTCCAAGCAATATCAGGGCATTTTTAGTGGGGAATTTGTGTCTCGTCACATTTTCAAAGTACTATCAGCAAAACATAATTTAACAAGATAGTTTTAAGAAGGTATAGAGCAAAGGGTAGTGCAAGTTATTTCATATTTTTTCTCTGAAAAATCTGAAAGTAAAAGTTATTATAAGTAAAACTTATCTATCATGATTAATTACTTTTTGAAATAAACGAATATTGCCTTTTATAACCTGTCAGTTGATTATTTTATTTGTTGCATTAGATTTAACCTACAACTTTTGGTCTCGTGTATGTTCTGTGAATGCCAAATCAGAGATACTGCTTAATGTCAAATAGCTGTAGCATTTCACCCATTACAATAAGCATAGTGATAGAAGTTTGCCCCTAAGCAATAATGTATGGTAATTTACAGGCTGCCATACAGAAGGGTTCACTCTTAACTCTTAGCTGCTTATCAATTTTATAGATAGTGTAGCTTTTAGAAACCAGGCCTAAAATTTCATGAATTTTACTCCAGTATAGGCATGTATATATGAGGGTTTTATAAAGAACTCAAGAGCTGTTGATTTTTAGGGAGCTTTTTGAAGAACTCTGTTTCAACACTGTCCTCTTTCCAAGACATATCTTTTCTTTTCTTTTTTTGAGAGGGCATTGCTGTCACCAAGGCTGGAGTCCAGCGGTGCGATCTTGGCTCCCTACAGCCTCTGCCTTCCAGGTTCAAGAGATTCTTGTCCCTCCCGAGTAGCTGGAACCACAGCCATGAGCAGCTAATTTCTGTATTTTTTTGGTAGAGACGGGGTTTCACTATGCTGGCCAGACTGATCTCAAGCTCCTGACCTCAAGTGTTTTACCTGCCTCAGCCTCCCAAGTGCTGGGATTACAGGCATGAGCCACTGAACCCTGTACTCAGGCAATCTCTTTACATCTAAATCAAAATAGCTTGTTTAACTCAAAAATGAAAGGAGGTGTGGTATGCCGCTCAAAACTGACAAAACATAAAACTTAGAGTGAGTGGCATATGTGGCTTTTTAGCACTTTTTCTTTCCAACTTTTAGAAACTATAGAAATAGAAAGATTAAAAACAAAGTCTGCTGGCAAATGTCTTATTTTAGTCTTAGGTATATTTGATAAAATGTTTGGAAGTTAAGGGATCTCTGAAAATTGGGAACTTCGAGATCTGAGCCACAGTGGCCAGAAGATAAGGGAAGAAGGGCTTCTTTTCTCAGTAAGCGCCTTATGGGAATAACGAGGGAAGGTGGAGGCTTGGCTTGGAACTTCCTGATTAAAAAGAAATCGGAAATATGAAAAATAAGTAAAAAGAGTGAATCGCTGTCATCTTTTGAAAGAAAATACAGAATATAGGAGTCCAATGTCACTAGATGGAAGGGAGAGTTAGGAGTTAGGATAACAGAGACAGTTATGACATTTTTCAGAAGCAACAATAGAAATAAAAAGCCACTAACTCGTAGTTTCTTATCTAGCGTGAGAGGATTAAATACAAGTTGGCAAAGGTTTTCTTATTTTTTAGGAGATAGAGCTGACGTTACTAGGTCCATGACTGAAATTGGCTGAAAGCAAGCCTAAGATCAGAAATTCCTGGCACTTTTGATTAATCTCTTAAAAAAATTAGTCATTCTTATCTGACCTTTTAAAATTACAGCAAGACTAAAGAAAACTTGCCATTACAATATAATAGATGCATTCTCAGAATGTCTGCGTATTTTTAACTCAAAATATTCTTGTGATTTTTGAGGATTTTGTGAAGCAGTAGATTCACCTTCACACATTGCAATGTCTTTTCTGTCTCTTTAATATGCCGTGCAATATAACACGCTGCCTACCTTCAGAGGATGTCACATGGTCTAATGTTATCTTTCTTACAGCCGCAACTAGCCATGTTTCAAAATCATTAAATTGTCATTGAATTACAAGAAACCCCAATGACTAAGTCTTCCTGTAAGCTTCCTTTATTTCTGTGCTGCCATTTTGAACGGGCAAGAAAAGCAGTGTCTACCTCGTAATAATCGATAATCCATGCATTCTCTGTATCCTTCTTGACCATAGTGAACCGCTTTGTGCATAAAAGAGACCACTTTTTGATGCTGTATTTGCTTGCAGGTTCAACCCTTATGTGAACATGAAAATTATCCCCGTGTTAAAATAATTTCAATCTTTCTGTTTAAGCTCATTCTACTTTCCTTTATATAGAATAGAAAATCGATCTTTAAACCCACCCAAACTCAACAAAGGCTCGTGGCTCCGTGGAGGAACACGGAAAGCTGCCTCTAGGTATCATGTCAGGAGGGGATGGTGCCAAAAGACAATCCTGGTCTTAGCGCTGCTGTTCCTGTTCCTGCTGAAGGGAAAATACGCTGGACGGGGCCGTTTCAGTGCGTGGCCACCGGCAGATGTCTTCATGCTGCAAACCTCCACTTTATTATCTAGAAAATGACGATGACCTCCCGTTATCTAGGAAACGGGGCCACTTCCTACCTCATCTATTTCTCAGGGACGTGAAGAGGGTTAAATAAGTTGGTGTATGAGAAAGTCTCTGCAAACTGTGAAGGGCTGTCCAAACATAAGATCTCGTAACAGCAACTTTTACTAAGCAGAAAGACTGAGCAATAGACTGGGCAGGTCGCTTCAATGGGACTGCTGTTTCCTTCTTTAGAATTCTTTCCCCATACTGCCATCTGAGTTACTTATGTTTGTACTCTTTGAAGCTCTTTGCTTTACAGCTGGCACTCCATGATTATAAACATATGAGCGCTATGTTCTCATCACCCTGGAGGCCGGCGTCAGGGCGCGCTATATAAAATCCTGCAGTTCAGAGCAAGAAGGACCAAGGGCAAGTTTGGGTGATCCCTTACACGTTAGTGACAAGACCGGCAGCCTGGAGCCCAAATGCGCCAGCACCTACGTAAAACTGTCCGTCAGCCAGCATCACAACATGTCATGCAATCTTTCAAAACTCATCAAAATTAACGAAAATTAACATGTCTCTTGTTTTGCTTTCCTTTTTTTTTTTTTGAAAGCAACTTATGACGTTTCCTCAAGCCCTATGACGTCAGAAGAGCCTGGGATTTCAGAGTCCTACACAGGTACACCCAGCCCCTCCATTCTGTCTCGGGATCCCAGGTGTCCCAACAACACTTGGTGGTTTTTCCTTTAGTTTTCTGCAGAGTGAAAAAGTGTGCTCTCTGGAGCTCTGCATGGGTGAAATTTCCACCTGTGTCAGGGAGATGTGTTTTGCCCACTCCTCCCGTAGACTGATGAGTTCTTTGCATCTCTCGGTAAATAAGCTCTGTCACACGAGGGAGATGAAGATAGATTTGGCTGCCACTGAGGAAAAGTAATGTGACAGCTTATCACTCTGTTGTTCGGAATCGTCATAAAAAGGTCTCAAGAGTTTCTAGATGGTTTTGTCTAGATCAGTCGTTCTTAAATGGGGGTAATTTTTACTCCCAAATCCCTTCCCCAGGACATTTGCTAATGGTGAGACATTTTTGGTTGTCACAGCTTGGGGAAGGACTACTAGCTTCTAGTGGGTAGCGATCGGGGTGCTGTGAGACCCACACAGTACACAGAGCAGCCTCCCACAGCACAGTATTCGACCCTAATTGTCAGCAGTGCTAAGGTGAGAAACCGTGCCGTAGAACACTCACGTAATTCATTTGACCATCGCAGTTCCCTGGGTCTAATCTTTGGCTTTCAATTAACTGACCCATCTATAGGAAGTTACCTCCGTCCACCAGTTCCTTTTAGCAAATGTTTATCAAACACCTACTAAACTGGGTACTGTAAGTGATTCAAAGGGAGTAAGACTGGTTTCTGCCAGGTATAGATATATGTCTGATATTTTTTGTGTATGTAATGTTATTTGTGTCATGATCAATAAAAGTGTATAATTTTAAAGAGCAGAAAACAAAACAGTGAAATAGAATGTCAGTAGTGGGTTCAGTTAGCAATTATGAAACAGAATGGAAAAAAAACAGAAAAGCCCATTGAAAACCAGTTGAATGTATGAACCACCGTTCGATTATGGTTTCTAATGTTTAAAGTATATATGTTTTTTAAAGTGAGCTCATCTTCAACTCCTAATGTATCACTAGTTTAAAAATGTGGGTCAGCAATCCCTCAGGTATTGATATTTTTCCTCATATGAGGCATAATTTATTACTCCTGAATTTGTATTTTATTCCTCGGGCCTTCTGCTTTTATAAATGTTGACATTTATTCCAACAGCAACAAGTGACCGTATTCTGGATTCTGTCCCACCTAAAACTTCTAGAACTCTTGAACAGCCAAGGGCAACACTGGGTAATGTTTTTAACAGAAAAATCATACTTTATTTTCCATCCAAAAAAATGCTTGTGAATGCCTTTCTTCTAAGTGACCGTTTCATTCCATCACATCTAAGCATTCGTCTATCTTATTTCTTAATACGCGTGTCTACATATTTTAAATACAGTCATCTTCCATGTTCCATTTGGGGGCTCTGTTTTATTATTTTGAACCGTAATAGATAATATTTTCCCTATCCTTTTAGTTATGAAAGCTTTGAAAACTGCATGGGCATCGTCACCTACACCCTCTCCTCTCACACATGTGTGGCCTCTGTCACTTTCGTGCTTCAAGTCTGCCTGAAGTCAGCTACTGAACAATCATCATTCCAGCCTTTTTCCTACTTTAAATCAGAATTTTATTCATTAGGTTTCAAGACCACATGCATTTTTTCATCTTTAATCATGTACCTGTGGCATATGCTTTATACCATCTAAAAGCTTGTTAAAATTCTTAAAATACCTCATTTTCACTGGGATTATTCAACGGGATGGGGTGTTTGTGCTTTCAGCTCCAAGTGAAACACCGTTTGTTCCTCAAAATCTGGAAATCTTTACCAGTCCTGAAACGCAGCCTACAACACCTGGTAACTAATGACGTTTGTGTAGTTATATGCATTGAAGAAACAGGTAATGTGATTAAAAAAAAAAAAAAAAAAGTCATGTTGGCCATTTCAGAATTTTGGGTTTTGTTGTTGTTGTTGGTTGGTTGGTTTTTGCTAAATATTTCCCTTCAGTCTTTACCACGAAATTATTCAAAGAACCGAGTTATCTGTCATACTTAGCCTTATGATCATCCTCAGAGAATCTGCACAATCCTGAAGTCTATATATGTTGAGGAGTCTCTTCCTTCCAACTCTCCTTTCAACTTTGCCAGCTGGAAAATAACAGCAGAATTATAATTATTTCAAAATATCTTCCCTGGTCCTTAGCACATTTAGACACCATTTGATCAAAGTATTTTACCCAAAGTAGCCTAAGTATAGAGAGCACCAAGCAGGCTTTGCCATCCTGGACATGATGAGGAAAGATGGCTAAGAGAGGAGGTAACGCAACCTACATGTTCTAACAAAATGATTGCAGGAGCAAAGTCCGTTAACTCTTGGTGGGGATAGTAAACAGCTACACAGTTAAGGTTCTGGGCCAGGTGTGGTGGCTCACGCCTGTAATCCCAGCATTTTGGGAGGCCAAGGCGGGCAGATCACATGAGGCCAGGAGATCGAGACCAGCATGGCCAACATGGTGAAACCTGTCTCTAGTTAAAATACAGAAATTAGCCAGGTGTGGTGGTGAACGCCTGTAGTCCCAGCTGCTCAGGAGGCTGAGGCACAAGATTTGCTTGAACTTGGGAAGCCACGGTTATAGTGAGCCAAGATTGCACCATGCACTCCATCCTGGGCAACAGAATGAGACTCTGTTTATTTAAAAAAAAAAAAAAAAAAAAAGTAGTTCCAAATTTTCATTATTTGTGCTTGTCTCCTGCTATTCAATGTCATCCTTTTGAGTTTTTAATTGTACCTTGTGCTCTAAAATGCCTCAAGGGTGCTTACTTCTGATACATAATGGAACAAGGTATATCTTCTGTTCTCATGTGGAAATGTAATACCTTTTGTCCTAATCACCACTTGTTTGTTGAGCACCTATTATATATAAAACAAGGTACTGGCCATTCTAGGGATATAAGGAAATATAAAACAGTTCTTGTACTAAGTTTGTGAGTTTACAGGCACAACCTGATTGACCCCTGGGAAATATCATTTATCAAAGATATATTAAATCTTCTTCCAGCTCCCCAGCAAACTACATCTATTCCTTCTACACCAAAACGGCGCCCCAGGCCCAAACCGCCAAGAACCAAACCTGGTAAATGTCTCTTTATCTTTGCATGATACGTAATTGCAGATGGATAATGTCCATCTTATTACAGAAAGAAGGAGAGCCAGGTGCAGTGGCTCACTCCTATACCCCTAGTGCTATGAGAGGCCAAGGGAGGAGGATCACTTGAGGCCAGGAGTTTAAGACCACCCTGAGCAAGATAGTGAGACTCTGTCTCTGCAAAATGCTTAAAAAATTAGCCACGTGTGGTAGACTGCTTGAGCCCCGGAATTTGAGGCTGCAGTGAGCTATAATGATACCACTGCATTCAAGCCCGGGCAACAGAGCAAGACCCTGTCTCTGGGTGGAGCGGGGGGAAGGATATGTTTCTTAGTTTATTTACAAAATTTGAGATGAACTAAAGATGAATAATTAATGATGCAAAATAGCAAAACTCAAATGTCTCCAAAAGGGGTTTACTGAAAATTATATTTTCACATGTGAATTTTGGTAAAAACCAAGAAACAAATCATACTCATAGCAATATAGGGCGATACATGTAATTCATCTTTTGTGTGTGAATGTTTATTAAAATATTCATTAGGATGATGGTTCTTATTTTTTGGTACCTACTCTTTTCAGTTTTGCACCAGGGCAATGGCTGAGTTAGAGAGGACGTGACTCTGGTTTTCAAATAGATGGTAACCTTGAGAAGGTATAACATGAAGATGATCGCACAACATACGTTTACGTAACTTATTTCTGAGACTATAATATTTCTGTAAATGCTTCAATCATTTACACAATGCTTGAAGAAAGAGATGAAGATGCAGGCCCCAAAATACATGTAGGATTTAGACAGAAGAAAAGGAGAAGGGAATAACATATATATATATATATATATATATATATATATATATATATATATATATATTATAGCACAGAGTTTGGGTGGTACAGATGCTTATTAACCTGGAGGTCAGTTCTTCATTGTCAAACAATAACACCCAGAATCACGTTTGACCAACTGGGTTTGGCTTATTGCCTTATAAGATAGATGTAATTTTGTATGATGTATACTGTTATGACAGTTAAAAAATTCTTCCTCAAAACTTTTACTCATTGTATACTTTGACTACTGAATATGGCAGCATTTTAAACAGGTCATTGAGCTCCTCTTTAGAGGGTATCTTTTTATGGTCTCCAGGATATTTCAATATTTTTTTTTTTCCTTTACATCACCAGAAAGGACCACGAGTGCTGGAACAATCACACCTAAAATTTCTAAAAGCCCTGAATCTACATGGACAACACCGGGTAATAATGATACGTCCTTAGTGGACACGTTGCTTCATTTCACCGTGGAAAAATCTAGCACCCCAGCTTTTATGTAATGTCTATTAGCTATTAAGATGGTCAAAATGGCTCATTGGAACAGTAGGGCCCATCTCATAGAGGCTACCAACTCCGTAGTTATTGTGCTTGTGGCTGGCTGATCCACAGTGAATAGATCTGAACTCAGCCTTCAGATGTCATCCTGAGCCAGCTTTTGAACCGTTGCAGCTTCCCTGTCATCTATCCAGTCACTGTATTTGAAGCCGAATCTTGTACACAGTGCTCGTTTTCTTTTTAGTAACACTCTCAAGTTCAACTCCAGACTTCATTTGGAAAAACAACTTTGAATTGAATGCTGGTAGAATTACTTTATGCTTCAGATCATAGCATTATACCTATTGGTGAATATTTTTGAGAGTAATTTTTATATTAAAATGTGTTTAGGTAGACAGGCTCAAAATGACGGATTCTGGAAACATTAGGAGACAAAACTCCACTACCCTAAAATTATACGCAGGGAGTTTACGTTTATTGTTGTGTCTTCAAAAGACGTGTACATCAGTTATTGGTTTGGATGATTTGTGATATTTTTCCTTTTTAGTTTATAAGGCTGATAAAAAATATAGCAGGTCTTAATACCTAGGTGAGTGGTTGACAGGTTCAGCAAACCACCATGGTACCCTGTGTAACAAACCTGCACATACATTGGTAAATATTAATTGTAAAACATGGTAGGTTTTTTTTTTCATGGTGCTCAGACTTAGATATGTGGTTGAGAAACATAAAGTAAGGGTGCAAAATAATTAGACTGATTTTTAAAAATCATAGGTTAAAAGAACTATCTTTACTTCGAATAATTATTGTGACTAGTAGCAATGCTATGTTTGTTAGTTAAATATATGCTTGAAATGTTTTTTCTAAACAAGATGAAAATTAACTACTTCTCTGTGAATGGATAATGAAATATTCTTTTAATAGAGTATTTCCAAAATCTTTCAAGACATTGGGTTCATTCCATTTATTTCTAGGTTTTACTTCTGTGGTTTTAGACACTGAAATGGCTAAATATTGATTTATTTATTATGTTGTTTCTTTATTTTTCCAGCTCCCAGTAAAACACAGTCTATTTCTTTGAAACCTAAAATCCCTCTCAGCCCAGAAGTGACACACACCAAACCTGGTAATTACTCTAAACTTTTTTGAATATTCCACAAGTGGGGTCAAGTTTTATGCAGTTCTTTGGAGCAAGAATTTCTGGTTTGTATTTTGACATTTGTTACATTTTTCCACGTCAAGTGCAAACATGCAATGAAATGATCTCATCATAAACAGCCACAGTGATATCACAGCATTGCTCTGAGCACTGTGGTGGATTATTATATTGACGATCACCACAGAGAAAACACAGAAATGTAATGAAGTGAATGAGTTGAGTACTGCAAAATAGTTTCCAATACCAATGTTGACTGGAATTCTAATCACATAAACAATAGCCTTTCAGCTGGAAACAAGATAAGTGTTTCTGTCTTCTAAGAACTCTGCATTATTTTAGAGCTGCTCAGTTCTCAGGCTAGAAGACCAGAAAGACCCATATTTTCCTAATGATCCAAGACTCCTAAATTGGTGCTGATTTCTGAACACTGACATCTGTTTACCTCTTAGGAATTTTAAGTGGCGTTTTCATTTAAAAAAAAAAAAAAACTGCTTTTGCAGGAAGGGATCATTCTATATATATAATTTAAGACATAAAGATTGTGGAGTGGCTGGGCGTGGTGGCTTACGCCTGTAATCCCAGCACTTTGGAAGGCTGAGGCGGGCGGATCATGAGGTCAGGAGTTCGAGACCAGCCTGGCCAACATGGTGAAACCCCATCTCTATTAAAAATACAAAAGTTAGCTGGATGTGGTGGCAGGGGCCTGTAATCCCAGCTACTCAGGAAACTGAGGCAGGAGAATCGCTTGAACCCGGAAGGTGGAGGTTGCAGTGAGCCAAGACTGCGCCATTGTACACCAGCCTAGGTAACAGAGTAACACTCCACTCAAAAAGAAAAAAAAAAAATTGTGGAATATATTGAATAACCAAATCTTGGAGTTTTCTATCTGTCTGTAATTCATATAGCAGTCTTAAATGTTGACTTATAAGATTGACTACAGGGAACTTGTCACCACTGAGGGTCATCGTTAGCTAAATGTTAAACCCTTACCACCGGAAGAAAAATCTTTCTCACTATAATGTTTAATGGATTTTGAACTTGCATTTCCATTAATGGCATGTTTACAAAGTAGGATTATTAAAGCAAGAGATTTCCTGCTAAAGTGGGCATGATTCATTTTTGCAATGAGATGGCTAAGGAAGAAAAATGTAACTGCTCAAAGAAAGAATCCTCATTACTCGCTGTAAAGAAGCAGTAAGATTTCCAGGTGTAGGTGCAGACTGAAGGAAAGGGTGTGTAGTTGACACTGTGACCATTGATGAGGCCTCCGAGTCAGAGAAATGGAATGAAAAACTCCCACTCAGAGAGGTTTTTCAGAGGAAGCAGCTTTTGAGTAAAACTCAAAGCCATAATAGTATTGGTTTAAATCAAATAACTCTGACAGCTGTGAGAGAGGGGTTTAATACACACTTATTTAAAAACCATGCTTAGAGAGCTTTGGGATAAAGTAGTAACTAGGCTGTATTTCAAGCAGAGGGCTATTACCAAGCAGATCATGAAATAGTACTGTTTGTTTGAGTCACCAAATTTAAGCATTTCTCTCCAAAGTAATTGTTTCTGTTATTAAAACATAAAATTGAAACACATCAAAAAGTTCCCCAAATGTTGGTTACAGTTTATATATGTTAGGTTACATTGTTCATTTCAGAAAAGATTTCTGAGAGGAAATTGATTAATACAGATGAGGAAGGAAGGGTATATTCTTAACACTCTAAGGTGTTGGAGCAAAAAGATCTTAATTTGACATTTCCTTTTAAAATAGGAAGAATTACTTGGAGGCTAATGTGTTTACATTCCTTTGATTTCTAAACCTTCTAATCATCAAAGAAAATCCATCCTCCTTCCTCTGACAGCAGTGTAATGACTTCAGAATCCACACCCAGACCCGTGCCAACTCAAGTGGACCTTGAATGGTCCATAGTAACACAGGCTGACGACTGGGTCTCTGCAAACCATTGCTTTCGCTTGAGATTCCTACATTTTATTTTATTTATTTTTATTTAGGGCAGACCACCTTTGTAGCTCTCCTAAAGATGTCTGTTTCTAGCCAAGGTTCAGAAGAATAAATAAACCACCCAAAGCTTTTAAAGGCCTCTCCCAGCCCTCTCCTCACACTCCTGTGTTTTTCTGTTTCACTTTCCATTACAGACTGCTTTTCCTTTGGCTTTGCTTGGTGGTTCAGTCAACGAGGAAAAATCCACATTGATTTGGGCTTGTTTTATAAACACAATTTAGTGCATTTCTCAAAAACCACAGCCACCTACCATGTCTTAACTTGTCTACCTCATCCAATGGGAATTGTTTCCTTCATGGTTTAATCTTTAATCTTCTAATGGGCTGAAAATAAGGGAGTGCCCCCCACTTACAGGTGTGTGTTTCACGTAAGTGTCTTCCAAGGTGGATAGAATAGTAAGTTGTTCTCATCCGTCCCCACGCGTGTGAGTCAAATTTGTCTTTGCTTTGTGTGGAGATGGGTGGCTTAGTCACGTACAGACCACTCAGCTTTGTTATGGAACATTTTGTACCTTTACCCATAATTCCTTATGATTGTCAAATAGAAGAAGTCTTGTCAGAAGAGAGACTCATTTTTACTAAACATAGACTTTTATGTGCAATTGACTTTGAAGCGTAATTGATGGAGTGAGTTCTATGCCTATTTGGTTTCAAACTCCGTCACGAACTCAAAAAGGCAGATTTTTCCTTATAATTTTAAAAGCGACATTCTTTAATTTTTGTGAAGTCTAAAAGATGCAGTGCGTAGCAGATCTTATGTTCTTGGTCACATTTTTGGAAGGCAACTTTGTAGAATCAAAAACATGAATCTCAACCTTGAAGTTTCAAAATAATGATTTGTTTGCTGTCTTCAGGTATGGATGCTTCTTTCATATTGATTATATTTCATGTATTGATATTTATTTTCTTCTTGTCCTATAGCCCTGAGATACCTAGACTATACATACACTCTCTTACACAGACACACCTACGATTCTCTCACACACTCATTCTCCTCCTCTCTCCTTCTCCCACGTGTACTCTTCTCTCCGCTCGTCTCTCACACACACACATCCTCTCCCTCCCTCTCTTTCCCTCCCTCCTCCTCTCACACACTCTCCCTCCTGCCTTCTCTCATACAGCTCACTCACACACACACACACTGAATTTTTACTTTGTCATGGGTATTTCAGTCCGACACATCACTACTGCCCTGCCATTCATCTGTTACGATCTATCTCTGCACAAGTTCTTGAGAAATCAGTATTCTGGGCTTTTCAAAACAACTTTTAACTTGGTTCTTTGCACCTAATTTGTACTGTTTACAACAGCCTCGACACAAACATTTTTGGATCACAGATATGCTAATGGATGATAATGCCTTTAAATAGCACCTTATGCTATTACGCATTGCTTTTGGAAATAAAAATTCTCTACGTGCATTCTTATATTTCTCAGTTGCTAAAAACTAGTTGCTACATAGAAGCAATTGTTCTTAGTTGCTACATAGAAACAACTCCCTTGTTAAGTAATATCAGAAATAATTCCTGCTAAGTCTAATGTTAGAAATGTATAAGTAGAAGAATGATTTAAGTCCTATTCAGATGGTCTGTGAATGCCGTATTTATTAGTTACTTTCTGTGAGAAAAAAAATTCAAGAATCTTAATTTTTTCTTCCCATTTCAAAAATAAAACAATTCCTTTTTTATTTTCTTCTTCTTCAACAGTAATTCTTTTTGTTCACAGAAGAGTAAGAAACTTATTGGTTAACCTTTTTTAAAGCCAAAATATTGTAACCAGACCACAATCAGCATGAAGTTTAATTTACTGATTGCTAGTCTGAATGAACATTGGAAAGTTTATCAGGATATTTACATGTTATTTAATTAACATTTTATAAAATCTGAGACTGCTTTTGGACTTACTGGTTTTTTTGGACTCATTGGTTTACCATTCAAATGGGTTAACTTTCGTATGTGAACCGATTTGTTTACCAGCAATAGATACTAGTGAGTACAGGGGCCGTCATAGGAACTTAATGGTGCCTTTTGAACCACAAGTTTAATTCCTATCTTTTTGTGAGAGAACGCCAGGTCCAGCCAAGCTGGAGATCACCGCAAACTAACAGCACAGACACAGTACCGGGGGTGAGTCTGTTGCCTTTTCTATTTCCTTGGATGAACCTGTCTGTCCTGCAAGAAACGAAGGGCAGGTGACAGGACTCTGAACAGCCTCAGAGAGGCTGCCCAGGACTCCCTCTAAGTTAGTACCTCCTCAGCACCAGAGGCAAACCAGAATATCCGGAAGTGATGGTAGCAGCTAAAAGTCAACAACAAAAATGAGAACTCTCAATTCTTGTGGTTTGTAGAGAGGATAAAAGCCAGTAGAACCTAATCATTCACCCAGGAGAGAACACCGTTTAAAGAACACGTAACTTCTATCTTAAATGGTACCCTTCAGCATTGCTTTTGATATTACTTGCTTTTATTGCAGCCCCAGAACCCCAGACTCCACTGCCGTCAGAGTCAACAATAGGTAATAAAGCTTTTTATAGTGAGTAAAAACAAAGTATCTTTACCTCTCCATGTTCAACTTTGTTCAGCTTTGGGTTTTGTTTTGTTTTTAAATATTGTTCTTGTCTTGTCTTTCTCTTTTTTTCTTTTCTTTTTTTTTTTTTTTTTTTTTGACATGAAGTTTCACTCTTGTTGCCCAGGCTGGAGTGCAATGGCGCGATCTTGGCTCACCTGCATCCTCCACCTCCCAGGTTCAAGCAATTCTCCTGCCTCAGCCTCCCGAGTAGCTGGGATTATAGGCCTGAGCCACCACGCCCAGCTAATTTTTTGTACTTTTAGTAGAGACAGGGTTTCACCACGTTGGCCAGGCTGGTCTCCAACTCCTGACCTCAGGTGATCCACCCGCCTCGGCCTCCCACAGTGCTGGGATTACAGGCAGTGAGCCACCGTGCCCGGCCCTGTATGTCTTAATTGTCCTTCAGTTCCTTTTCCAGCCATTTTTGCCCGAAGATATACTGTCAGCCTGTGCTTGATGTATGCAGAAGTTCTGAGACACCCATGAAAGCAATACTGATTTTAATTCGATACATTCTTTATTTTCCCTCAGTTACATTTTAGGAATATGTCCTGAGCTTGTTCTAACCTGTTTATTGCCAGGGGTGGACCCTGACCTTCACAGGATATATTTATGTGTTCTCTTTTGGAGGTGTTTTTCTTACTTTCAAAACTCTTAACTTTTGCAGATTTTCTTGAAAAGCTCTATGATTTTTACAGATGTAAATACTCTGATGTGTCACTAGGAAATCCACTCAGAGAAACAGAAAAACCAACCCCAATCTTTCTAGCTTCTTTTTCTTCAAAAGAGGGGGGGAAAATGTGTTCTGGTGCCATCTTAGCCAATTACCCATATTTTCCTTCATAACATGACCTGCTGGTTACGTTCTTACAGTCACATATTCCAAATGAGCATCATGCCTTTTTGTTCCAGTTCTCTTTCCAGACTTAACTGACTGGCTACAGTTTTTGTTCACTTTGTCAAAAACACAGGAATCGACTGAAGTAGAAAAGAAACTTCATATGTGACCAAAAGTTTCACCATTTATATTTGCTCAACCTAGTAATGAAAAATTAAGCGTATCCGTGTTTTAAATACATGTCGTCATTTTTCCTTTAATCTTGATTCTTTCTTGATTTTTTTTCACACTGTCTTAGGACCTGAAACACTGGGTACGAAACCTTCAACAACAACATTAGGTAATAGAGTTCTCGAGTGGATGACCTTCATTTCTTCTTTTCCTGACTGCTGGTATCTGTGTTGACAGGCTCACATGAATGAATTAATACATTAATGCCCATTTGTGTGTGTAAGTGCTTTGTTCTTCAGAAAAGAAAAAAGTTAAGTCTCGTAGATACAGTTGATAAACTGTATCTCATTTTTTTAAAGTTGCCTTTCCTGAAATAATTACTGAATTCAAAGCCTTCTGCTTATATTGTTGATTTGTGGCTATTTTAAATGCTTCGTGAAAAATGTCTGTGTTTGAATCTTCGGCCAAATATATTTTAAGTTTTATCCCAAATGGCTTTATAAAGGCAACCTTTCACATGTTCCTGTTGAACATAGGCCTTCAGTATTTTTGAGTCACTGTCTTCTCTAAGCTGTACGGAGTTTTGAGATTTTCCATCTCAGAATGGAAGAACAGATCTCTTGGACCGTTTATTAATCTTTGACAAAAGTTATTCAAGATCTCATTTAACTAGGTAAATAATGATAGAAACTTGGAAAACAGATGGACCCATGTCCACAGTACATCTAAGGGCTTCACCGTGCTTCTAAGATGGGTGTAATAGTTATCATCAGTTTGCAAATCCACCTTCTTATATTAACTTGCTAATTTTCTTTCTTCAGCACCACGAAAGACCAAAAGACCAGGTCGTCGTCCTCGCCCACGTCCCCGCCCTAAAACCACACCTAGTCCAGATGTGCCCACGTTCAAACCCGGTAAATGTGATATTCGCGGTCCAGTTAACGTAGCAAGCGGAATGTGGCAGCTTCCGGTTTAGTAGCTGTCACCTACTTGAGCAGCTGGGCTTTAGGAACCGGTGGAATTGGCTTTGATGACTAAGCATCGTACCAATTTCTATATGCATTTTTATGTATGCACTGTTTTTTTTAATATATGTACTGTCTAATATGTTTCTACTCAGTCATAGTTATTGGGTACACACAGCAGAAAGCTGGCCCATTCAGTGGATTATTAAAGTAAGGCACCTTGAAATCTTATGATGTACATTCATGGCAGCTGAGGTGCACTGAGGAGAAAGGGACATTAGGTAAAGTAAAAGGGAAAATCACATTCAGAAAAAGTACATCATTTAGCTAGAGGATCCTAGCTCAGGGCATCATGTTTCCCTCCTCAAGATGCCACTTCTTGAAATACCTGATGCTTTTGGTGTTTCCCTCTGTAGCTCTGGAACCTGTCACGATACCGCCGGAACCCTTGGTGCCCACAATTGGTAATTCTACTCCCCCGACCCTGGCTGCTTGGATGGCTGGTTGCTTTCGCCTCCCCCATTCTCCGTTACAGGCATGACTGCAGTTCCGCCACCTCATTCATTCACCATTTCATCCCACGCCTTTCCTCACCTTTCCTGTCTCGGTCTGAAGATCCTAAAGATAGAGTTGTCCAACGATCCAGTGTGCTTGTTTAGGGAAGGTCTGTGGCCTTGCACACAGCTTCCCGGTCCTGGGCTGACGTCTGTCTTCCCCACATGTGTCCTGGGGTTGAGAAAGCCATCAGCTCCCTCTCAGACAGGGACCTCTGTGCTCATCCTGCGCTCAACAGATGGCAACATTTTACAGCAGCACCATGGTTCGCATTTCATTGCTCTACTGATTCAACTTCTAAGACTTTATTCCTTTCACAAAGCTGCTTGGAATGATGGCTTCTTCAGTTTTTCTGTGTCTTTGAAAAACGTTTTTGAGTAGGTTAAAGTAACTGGAGGTACCAAGATTGTTCTTGGTCCACAGTCCCATGTAAAACTAGTGATGGTCTTTGGAACTTGAGAGCATTAAAAGTCCCAAGCTGTTTTTTTTGTTTGTTTGTTTTCAGTACTAATACTGTTTGATGATAATCATTTTATTATAGTTTAACTCTTAAAATCTATCACGACTTTACTTTGGAAAATCCCAGGCATGGGTAGCCATGTAACGTTATTTTTCTCATGTGTAATTTTAAGTCTTTATGGATTACTTCCGATCACCTCCTAAGCAATCAGATTTCTACCTTGCTGTTTTTATACTGAAGATGACCTTTCCATCAAAGAAATAGTACTTTGTCTATTTTCATATTATTGATATAGGAAAAACATCTTATAACAGTTCTTATTACTTTTGCCCAAAAACACATTTACTGATCATGGAAAAACTAATTATGCTAGTATGTAGTTAAAATGGAGACCCATTTTACCCTCCCCACACCCAAGAAATTTTTATAGATGCATTGAATCTGTATAGTGTCTGTTCAGCCTACTTGTCCTTAATTTTCACAGTGACAGCCATGACCCATTTTGCTAATTTTAATACCTTTTTCTTTAGCCTCAAAACCATCCGAGAGTCCTAAAACCACACACAGACCAGATGCACCTCAAATTCAGCCTGGTAATCGCTACTTTCAATGCCTTGATCTATAAATAAGAAAACAAATGTGTAAGTAACATTAATCTTCACATTCACAGCTCGGCTGTAACACTAATTGTAGCACTCTAATTTTCTTCAGGTTCAAAACCACCAAAACAATTACTTCCTAAACCCCAGACCACAGCAGAACCAGACATGCCACCAACTAAATCCGGTAAACATAATTTCCAGTGCTTTAGCTTAACAGGATTTTCTCTGGAAGCATTGCTGAAAATGTTTACAATCTGTCATATCATATAAATCATAGAAACCCAAATACCATAATTTTGTTGATTATCTTTTCCAAGCAGCCACACTGATGTTTTAAGTCCTAAATGAACAAGTCAATATGTAGAAAATTAGTAAGTTTTATACCTGATTTACTGGCATTCCGTTTTTTAAAGCATTTTTAGGTCTATTTTCTGAGTGTGTAATGAACAGAGGCCTGAGTTTTCTGTGTTTGAAACGTTTTTAAAAAGTGATTTTAGTAACACTGTTAGACAGTACCCTAGAAGGTTGACGCTGCTATTCATTTACAGGCACAGCTGAGAAGAAGGCTCGCTAGTCAGGGACTGGCTTTCTCTAAAATACTCTGTGGACATTTTATTTTATTGTTTGTTTATTTAGAGGCGAAGTCTCACTCTGTCACACAGGCTGGAGCACAGTGGTGCGATCTCAGCTAACTGCAACCTCTGCCTCCTGGGCTCAAGCGATTCTCCTGCCTGAGCCTCCTGAGTAGCTGGAACTACAGGCGTGTGCCACTACGCCCGGCTAATTTTTGTATTTTTACTAGAGACAGGGTTTCACCACGTTGGCCAGGCTGGTCTCAAACTCCTGACCTCAGGTGATCCTCCCACCTCGGCCTCCCAAAGTGCTGGGATTACAGGCATGAGCCACTGTATCCAGCCAACATTTTAAACTGTAACTATTAACTGAGTAATTTTCTAACCACATGAGAAGATATTTATGTAACGGTTCTCCAACTCCAACTGTTTGGCAGTGGAAATTTTCTCCTGAGATTCCAGTTGGTATAAAATTTGAATTTGCTAAGAAGCATCTCAGATAATAAATAAGCCTATCAAGAAGGCACTTTATATTAACTTAGAGTATCTGTGACCTTTGAATGAAGCACCAGTGAGCACCCAAAAGTTTACACTTCTTTGCTGTTATTACTTGTATCTGTTTATTTTTTTATGATGCAGTCTCTGGGCCTGTTCCATTTGAAACTGAAGCTCCCTCGATGACCATAGGTAATGACGCTTTCTTCCTTCTTGGCCCTGGTTTCTGTTAGCTTGCCCCCTCTCATCTCTTTTGTCATTAGCTATAGTATGCACAGTTGTCATTCATCCTTTTTTTGCATTTTTAGAAATCGTTCACTGTTTTCAACAGGGGCCTTTTTAACATCATCAGGCATTCTTACATCTGCTGCTCAGCTTGTAACACGTAAATGTTACTCTTTCTTCGATCGGCTTCAGAGACGTGCAGATTGCTTACAGCACTTGATGCTGTCAGGAACCACAGGCACTCTATATCCATCTTTGGAACCAGAAAAGTGTTTGAAACCTCTGCTTCTGTGTGTGTGCAATTTACGGATGTGGGAGGGAAGAGATGAAAAAGCTGGTTGGAGTTTGTCCTCAGTGTGTTTATAAGGCGCTCATGCTGTACATAACTGTTTCCTTCTTGCAAAAGGCCTTTCTTGGTCCACATTGCCCATATGCAAATTGATCTTTCTGTTGCTAACTTCTTCTTGTAATGCAAAATTCCAAGCAAAATAAGGATTCCCTGTTTTGTTTGAAGGCAATCAGTTCTAAATCCTGTTACCCTGTTGTCCCGGCTTCCTCCGTATCTTCTATTATATGTGCCTTTAGTTCTGCTCTCAGGGCTGGCTTAAGCCAACTTTGTGCTGTGACGTCTTGAGCAATAAAGGAAAGTCAGTCTCTCTGTCAACACTTAAAGAGATTTTGAGGATGAGATGTTTGAATGTTACATTTAGCCTTCTGGGTTTAGTGAAAGGTAAATGGAGATACTAATACCGGAGAGTTACAATTCTTCATTAATTTTATATCTATGTATAATCCATTTCAAAATACAGAAATCCTGTTTATCTAGACAAAAAGTTGAATTCCTACCTTTTAGAACTTTTTCTTAATTATCTGTTTTCTACTTGATTATCTTCTAATTAGCCATTTGAAATAAATGAGTAAGGCAGAGCAAGAAGAATATCACATTTATTACAAATAAAAGGTATAAGACTTTTCCACACCTCTCCCAGATCTCCAGTAAATGGACTGATGGAGACATTTTGAAACATTTTTCTAATTCTCCTCACAATCACCACACTCAAAACAAATTAATAATGGTGGTGAAAACTTTTCAAGTACCAACAGAAGCTTTTAGAACAATTTTTAAGAGTATTTTAAAAGTACATATTGGACAACTAAGATTTTCTTGCAGCCTTGTTTTCTGTGTTATCAGAATCAGCAAAATAGAGGAAAATATTTTCATTGCCTTACAGGGATGCAGAGGGTTTGGCTATTTTGTGAGACAAATGGATATGATGATATGGGTAGTTACGGGAAACAAATCCTATTTTCCCGGAGTTCAGAAATGCATTTTAAACTGTAAAGGGTTAAGATTCATCTTCAAAATAATTTTCTTTTTCTGTATTTCTTAATCTCCATCGTTTATTGTATTGCTTTCCATTAGTTCCCACCACAGACATTGAGCCTGTAACTCTGAGAACTGAGGCTCCAGTGACGACATTAGGTAACGACCTTTTATGTCTTTACGAGGTTTTTTCTGCTTATTGTCTAGTCTGTTCCATCACTGTTTGGGTCAAGGGTTTTTTTCTTTCATAAGATTTTCTCATCATCCTCTTGTCATTGAACCATATTGTTTATTTTGAATGTATCAAAAATGCTTAGGCCGGGTGTGGTGGCTCACACCTGTAATCCCAGCACTTTGGGAGGCCGAGGCGGGTGGATCATGAGGTCAAGAGATCGAGACCATCCTGGTCAACGTGGTGAAACCCCGTCTCTACTAAAGGTACAAAAATTAGCTGGGCGTGGTGGCGCGTGCCTGTAATCCCAGCTACTCAGGAGGCTGAGGCAGGAGAATTGCCTGAACCCGGGAGGCGGAGGTTGCGGTGAGCCGAGATCACGCCATTGCACTCCAGCCTGGGTAACAAGAGCGAAACTCCGTCTCAAAAAAAAAAAAAAAAAAAAAAAACTTAAGTCACTTGGTTATAAGCCCATATGCCGTAGTGAACAGCGTCTGTGTGCCATCTTCCCATATTATCCAACTTTACTAATGCTTGGCAGAGCCTGCAATTCTGCTCAAGCAGTGTTCTACGTTGAAGCCGAATTTCAGATACAATTAGGAATGTCTGCCTGATGAATATCAATTATAATTCTGTGGGCATCTTACTTTCTGTTGTTTTAAGATACACGGGGAATTTTTATTGCCTACCAACTATTTTAGAAAATGAGATGTGCTTACATTTGTAATTTTTAATGGGATGTATGTCTGAGCCAAGTAATTTCTAAGTACACTCTCCGAAAAGCAGATGGGCCTGCGTCCCTCTCTGATGTGATGTCTGTGTGCCTATGTCTGACTTCCCTTGGTTCTGGGCCCTCTTCGAAAATCCTGTATCAGCAACTAACAATAAAGCTGAAGTTTATTTTTAAAAATTACATATATTCCATCTGTCTCAAAAGACCTGTCAGTAGACCAAAACTATATATATATTTTTTGCATGTAGATGATCAGAAGAAAATTTCAAACCAAAGAGACAAATTTCTCAAGGCTTAAGAAAACTTTAGAAAACCTAGAGTCATGTGTAATCGTTTCATTGGTTTCTGGAGTCATGAGACCTCAATAACCAGTTTCCTTTCTTTAGCTCCAAAAACACCACCACGAGCAAGAACACGTCGTCCACGTCCCAAACATAAAACCACACCACGCCCAGAGACACCGCAGACCAAACTAGGTAAATAATATGGGGTTCCTTGTCCCTGTGACATCCCGCTGGATGTGGTATGGGGGTGGCAGTTTAACATGCCACCTTATAACCCATTTGACCCTTGGGGTGAAGGCACAAGTCCCGGAAAGCAGCCGCTAACAACACAGTGCCCTGGCGATACCTGTAACTTCCTCATGCTGCTCGCCTGAGGACCTCCTTGGTGCCTGGGTATTTTGTTTGCTTCTCTGATGCGCAATTACATTTTTCTCTTTGTAGCCTCAGCTCGGCAAAAAGTTCACCTGATTAGGTGTCTAGTAAGCATAGGTAGTTCAACCCGTCACACATTTTGAAGGTTTGCATCTGTGAAGAATGTTTTAGAAGAAAACAAATGACTTACCTGAGTTAAAAGAAGCTGCTCTTATGTGAGACTCTTCATAATAGATACGCAGGAATGGGAGGAAAAGCAAATAGTTACTCATTTTACCAACTGTTAGGCACATAGTTGGTTCTTAGAGAAGTAAAACATCTGTGGGCTGATAAGTGTAATGTGGATCTTTAGGGAGAACTCCATTTCTACGAAAACTTTAAGAATAGTTAGCCAGGTATGCGCACGTGTGCCTGTAGCCCCAACTACCTGGGTGACTGAGGTGGGCGGATCCCTGGAGCCCAGGAAGTTGAGACTGCAGTGAGGGACGATTGCACCCTTGCACTCTAGCCCAGGAAACAGCAGGAGCTCCTTCCGTGGACTTTGAAATTTGTAGAGCCTGGAGATTTATTGGTGGTTGGGCAGGAATCCCATAAACAGAGGCAGGAATGTGCCATGCGAGGGTGACAGCAGGACAGGTACTTCAAGTGCCACCTGATCGTGAGAAAGGCCATGTGCTTTCAGTTGGACAGTAGTGCTGCTTTTGACGGGTCCACAAAGAGCACTTCAGACGCCTGAATTCGATGAGCGGATTTGAGCCCATTGGCTTCAGCAGGCTCTCCTATCCTAGGGTCGGGCCTTTTCCCTCCTGATAATAGACATGCACTAACAAGCTTGATGGATTGAATGACCCTCTATATCTGGGTCTTTGTATGCCTTTGTTTGAACAGAGGTCTGGGGCCGTTTCCAAAGTGCACTCTCAACAAAGCAGGGCATTGTCTAGTTTACTCATTTGTCACTGTATCTGCTTAAACGTATGACTAATTGCATCTATCACGAACTCAGACTTTGTTTTTCCAATTTACAGGGCAACTAATCATACTTTCACATTAACTTTTCATAATTGTTAAAGATAATATCAGATGTCCTAAGATTTTTCTAAGCAGGGTTTTCTATTTTCTACTGTATCATCAGATAGTATATAAATAAGAAAAACTCGTAGCTAAGCACGTTACAGATGCTAAGGTTATATCTGTTTCATAAAATCAAATAAATATGTACCCTCACTTGAGAACTTCGATGTTTGCTTTGTGGCTGTGGAACTAATGCCGTAATGGTAAACTTCACTTTTCGGGAGAATGATGGCTTTTCTCATGTGTTTTAACGCTTCTTTTTAAAATTGCTTTTGATCATTTCTTGCTACAGACTTTGGACCTATTACTCCAGGGACTTCTTCAGGTAATGACTCTCTATGTCTTTCGGCAAGGGCTCTTTCTTACTCATTGTCAGATTTAGCTACGGTTCCATATAGGTGATGGGACCATCTTTTGCTGTTGTCTCGTTACAGTATTCATCTTAAAATACAGGAAGCTTTCTTTTTAACAGAAATATGCAGGGACTTAATTCAAGACAGCTCTCTGCTCCATAGCCCAGCTTGAAATTGTGTCATGTCTGAGTCTCTGAACAATACTGTCAGAGCCAAGATCCAGCTACAGTTTACCATATATTCCTTATTTAGAGCAGCAACGCAGTGTCAAATGATAGGATCCTGAAGTTTCTTTGTGCATCTTTCTGTTTCTCAAGTTCTATATCATTTTTCTTTTTTGCTTTATCGATGTTTCAGTGAATGTTATATACTTAGTCTAGTGAATTACCAAATGAAAAGTTTGCCCAAGCCTAGTTATAAGTAAATAGTGTCGGGTTAAGCAGTGATTTGAATTAGGGACGTTCTTAAGAAAATAATGATAGTTTCTGATGTTTGTTTCTTAAATGTAATTATATGTATAATTTTTGTCTCTGGAGAACTTTCAGTTACCAAAGAAAACCTAGTAAGATACTGAAGGAGGAAATTTCAAGCCAAAGTCACAAAGTTCTCTCGACTCAAACCCTTAACAAGGGAGGTTCTGACCTGATCTGTGCTAACCAGGCTGTAATACAGAAGTTTCTTTATACCATCCCTGTACATCTCCCTTGCTATTTTGTTTCCCTTTTTTTGGTTTCTATTTTTGTCTTTTTTTATTCTGTGTACAACCATTCCCAAACATGCGCCTTTTTAATCTGCCTGTCATTTGTGTTATTTTGTTAACGTATGAGTAATAGTTTAGTGAATTACGTAGCAGATAACGTGATCGAGGCCAGTAGGTTTCAAGGCTAGCAGGTCTAGTATTTAAAAACTTGTGGCTACGTCATCCTATTTATAGTGAATGGAGCCATCAGCACCATATTAATGCTCAGTTTTCTTCCTTCAGCTCCAACAACAAAAAGAGCCCGTCGTCCACATCCCAAACCTAAAACCACGCCCCGTCCAGATGTACCTCAGACTAAACTGGGTAAATACGTAGTTTCTGTTTCACAGAATCCACGCAGTCTCCCACGATTAGGACTGTAAGTTCTATGTGCATATCACACACTGGGTCATGCCCTATATCTCTCTTACGAGTAAAAGCTACTGGTTAGTGAGGAGAACATGAATAAATAGCTTAGCACCTCTTGCTTTCTTTATAGGGATCTTCTCTGTTGGTGATTATTTGCTCTTCTTGCTGTTTCATTTCATTCCTGTCTTAAAGCTGCTCAGTATTGAGCCGGTACAGTCACTTAAATCAACTACTTTTATTAAGTCCCTTCTAATTCCCCAAAGCCGTATTAGTCCGTACATCAGAGGTGGGAAGCTGTTTTCTTTCCCAATCAGTTTGCACTGAAGTTGTAAACAAAAGCTGTTCTTACATACCCAGGTGGAGATTAATACGAGGCAGCACATTTATGCAAGTATTTCTTCCATGGTATAAATATAACTTCCTAGAAGCATGGCAGATACTTAGAGAAGGAAAATGTCCAGGATAATTAGAAACCAGGATAGAAATTGGATGAGTAGAGGGATGAGGAAACAGAAGCTGATAAGCGGGGAATGTGTTGAAACTGACTCACCAAGATAACTCACAGAGGATAACTCGCTGATACACTCCTCTTCAGTGGTGAATTAAAGGGGACTGGGATGTCTACTCAAGAGCTTAAATTTGATCTGATGGCCGGGCGCGGTGGCTCACGCCTGTAATCCCAGCACTTTGGGAGGCGGAGGCAGGTAGATCATGAGGTCAAGAGATGGAGACCATCCTGGCCAACATGATGAAACCCCATCTCTACTAAAAATACAAAAATTAGCTGGGTGTGATGGTGTGCACCTGTAGTCCCAGCTACTTGGGAAGCTGAGGCAGGAGAATTGCTTAAACCCGGGAGACGGAGGTTGCGGTGAGCCGAGATCGCGCCATTGCACTCCAGCCTGGTGACAGAGTGAGACTCTGTCTCAATTTAAAAAAACAAAAAAACAAAAAAACAAAAAACTTGATCTAAGGGGCTTCAGTGATTCCTATTTCTGCACAGGATTATGCTTTTTCTGTTCTTAGAACTGAAGATACCCAACCCCATGGAACCAAAACTGAGAGCTGGTTCTTCAAATACTTATGTTAAAGTACAGCTGTGTTTACAAAAGACTTAGTCTCTTAACGAGTGTACTCTCAGCTTCTTTTTGGCTGTTAATGTGTGTGGTACACAAACTCTAGGCAACACCACCCCCAACCACCAATAATTCCCTGCTCCTGGGGTTAACACCTTTAGATAATCCACCTCCCTCGCTCCCTCCCTGTCTCTCTTCGTTGTGCTAGCATGGCAGACACACTCCCAGCCCATGTACCCATTCGAGGGAGTGACACCCGTCACCTTTGCCTGATTTTATTGGTTAGAAAGATGTCAGAGATCCAGCACACATTCATGGGGAAGACACGACACAAAGGTGTTAACACCAGAGGCAGAAATCACCGGGGATCGGGGATCGCCATAGGGGCTGTCTGCTACGCTGTGTTTACTTTCAAACGTTAATGTTTGTTCTAGCTGTGATTATTAACTACTGCTTATAACAAGTGCTCTATTGTGTTGTGTTTTGTTTATTGACTTCTGCAAAAGTTCTAGTCTTTATCATACCTTTTTCTAAGAAAGTGACTAGCCAGATTTTCTAGCGTTCATTAGAATCCAGTGGTTAACCGACAAGATCTTACTGTTGACCTCAGCGAGATGCTCAGCAAAGTCCAAAGGCCATTGCTGACCATCTTCAGAGTCAAATGAGTACCCGATGGAGGTTTGGAGAAATATTCAAAGGAAAAAAAAATACATCCACTTTCTTTTGAGTTACGACGTTAAGAATTAGTTTTGCAGCCTTGGAAATGTTGTTTTTAGTGGTAAAATGAATGTTCTGACATTTCGTGCATTCACAAAATCACTTTGGTTTCTTTTATTACTTTTGATCAGTTCCTGCCACAATCCTCGAACCAGTTCTTAGAACTGAGGCTCCAGGCACAACAGTAGGTAATGGCATGTTATGTCCATCAGCGTCTGCCTGTCCTGTTCATTTCCAACCCATTCATTCCCATCATAACCACAGCTTCTCTCATTTCACAAGGCTCCTGTTCGTCCTCTATCATTCATCTACTTCTTAATAGATATAGGAGTATTAAAACAATTTCTTGTTGGTAAGAGGGCCAAGCATGAACTTAGGGTCAGTTTATCGATCTGCAATGTAATGACTTTGAATTCCCCACATCTTGCTCCCACGTAACATTTTAACCACATTCTGTGTTCCCAAGTTTCACATTTAATCACTGGAGGGTGGAGGGGAAGGTGTCTGTCGCTGATCTAGGCTGAGTAAATCGGCACAACTGTTAGGACGGTATGACAGTTCTTTTGCAGATTTAATTTCTACATTTTTACTAGGCATGATTTTGTGTTTTTTGTTTTGCTATTTGGGGTAATGATGTGTTCTTGTTTCAGTAAAGAGTAAAATACGTGTTCTTGTTTCCCAAGTAAAGAGTAAAATATGCCCAAGGTTGGTAAATTGATAAGCGCCATCACTAATATAAAATCACCTGATACCTACCCTCATCTCTGCCATAACTCAGCAAGGTTTTAGAACTTGGTTTTCATTCAGGAATCTCTGTGAGAAGCTCCTTGAAATACTGTCAATAGATAAACTCAAATTTCTATGTGATTTTTGTTCTGCAGAAAAAAACTACATGATAAAAAGAGACACCTTATTGAAATAGGGGCAAATATTTCAAACCCAGAAGAAAAATTTCCTGGAACTCAAGAAATGATAACAAGTATAATCTTATCCACAGCTTCCGGAACCAAATATGCTGTATTAACCTGAAGTTTTCTTCCCTCAGCTCCCAAAGCGCCTCCACGAACTCACCCTCCACATCCCAAACCTAAAACCACACCGAGTCCCGAGGAGCTTCAGACAGATCTGGGTAAATATACAGGTCATACCTGAGGAATCCTAGCAGCCCACCCCAGTGGGACCCAAAGAGAATGAAGTCGCAAAGCAGGGTCAGCAGCTGATTCCACCTCAGACCAGGCAGCGAGGAACAGGGCTGGGGAGGTGATGTGTTGGCCAAATTCCTTATACTTCCCTCTCAACGTCTGTTTCATTTACTTCTCATTCCGTTCTCTTCATCGTTTCAGTGTTGAATGTATGATAAACTGAGATGGCTAGAGAATGAGCACCTGTTCACGCAAGTGGGAGGTTATTTCTCGGTAACTGTAAGAGTCATGTAAGTTACAAATAAGGATCTAAGGCAGGAGTTGGCAAACATTTTCTAGACAGAGCCAGATAGTAAATTTTCGAGGCTTTCTCGGCCATATAGTCCCTGTAGTATTTACTTCTTCTTTTTCCAACCACTTAAAAACAGAAAAATCATTCTCGGGGGGGAAATTATTCTTGGGGAAGAGTAATGGAGAAGCTCAGAAAGGCAGGGGATGTGTGGAATCCAGTCTGAAGAGGCAGTTTCTCTGAACGCTGGAGGGGCTCAGGCTTCCAGGTGTTGCTCAGAACATTTCTTTGAGGTGTCTGCACCTAAGTGAGAAGGGGTCTTGAAGGCTGGCCTAAGGAGGTTGGATTTTATGTAGGAATCTTCTGCATCCCTGTACAGTCAGGCTTTCTCTGGGTGTTGCCTAGCTGTATATCACAGACTGATGGCTAGCCCTCTTGCTCTCTGAAATACTCAAGTTGGACAAAGCTCATGGTCTCGATCCAAAGAGGAGTTTTCAGCAAAATGTGTATGGTCTGTTGTGCTCTATTAGTTAGGTTCAGATCACCAAAGAATGAGAAAGACCCCTGGGGCACTCCGCATGGACCGTTATCTGAATTATCTGAATCCAAAGCGAATGACCATTCCTCCTAAGAGATGAACTGGTACCCACGGACAGAGGTGCCGTTTCCTCTCAGCTCAGGAGGCTAATTGTGCTTGCTTTGTGCTCTGGACAGATATATCGTGACCTGGTAAATTCTTTTTGAATGTTCTGAGTTTTTATACATTTTTACTGTTTTGTTGATGTCGTCTTTATTATTTTTGGCCAGTTCCAGCTACAATCTTTGAACCAGTTTCTCCTATAAAAGAGGCTCCAGGGACAACATTCGGTAATGCCACTTTCTGATCTTCAGCAAGTGCTTTTTCTGCTCAGTATCAAGCTTATTCCACTGTATATTACCATTCAATTACATTTTTTGTTTTATGATGGCTGAACGTACATAAAACAAGTTGCCTCTTGCTCATAAGAGAGCTATGTATGACTCTAGTTTGAGATCTTTTCCTGCTCTGTAACTTAAAAGTGTTTTTGTATCATTTTGGTTTTGGCTTAATCAGAGTTCTCTATTAAAAGAAATTTCGTATATTCTCGGGAGGGTCTCACCTGGTCTATGCTAACCAGGCTGTAATATAGAAGTTTCTTTAATACATCCCATATACATCTCCCTTTTTATGTTTTTCCTTTTCTCGGTTTATATTTTTGTGTTTTTTTAAATCTTATATATGACCATTCCCAAACATCTACCTTTGTCATCTGCCTGTTATTTGTGTCATTTCGTTAATTTATGAGGAATATTTTTAGTGAATTATCTAGCAGATAATGTGATCAAGGATAGTAGGTTTAAATTATAAACCCCATCCTTAGTATATATCCAATTCCCCTTAGTCTGCAACATAATTTGGATGATTTATTACCTTTTTAATCCAGACAGGGCACTCTAGGAGAATGTGACAAACATATTAATGCTAAATATCTGAATTAATAACTTTAATCTGTCAAATTTGCATATTTGCAAGTTTGTTATTGAAGTATCTTTAACAGAAAAAGATTAAAGTAGGAGCAGAATTTTTGCATTAGAAAGATATATTTTCTGAAGCTCAGGAAAATCTACCAAGCTTTAGAAAAGCTAAAGAAGTTTTCTTTAAGCCTACAATGTGCAGAAGCATAAGATTTAAAATAACTAATGGTTACCTTTTTCTACCTCCAAAAACCTCCCAGTGAAAATACCATTCACAGCACAATCTTAATACCGCTCTGTGTCTGGCTGCTCTTGACACTGTCCCAGATAGATATAGGGTCTTTGGTTTAAGGAGCCTGGGAGCCTGTCATTGATAGAAATAATAAACTCACATACCCCTTAGTGAGGGAGTCCAGAGGCCTGTTATCCCCCTCATGATTGACAAGGAGTCAGTTTAGAAGAGAGCTACAGGGTCTTCCCTTTGTGTAGTAGGAGACATGTAGTCCACAGTCCACAGGCTAGTTGAGCACAAAAATGTTTTCCACAAGAAAAGCCTAGAGAAGGAGAATAATAGGCCAGGGTGCTTTTGCAAATTAAAGATCTTTCTTGGGAATATAAATGTTAAGTGTCAGACTTACTATAGGGTCTTAAGGTAAAAAATGAAATTGGGTTTCAACAGAGCCAGGAAACAGTTTGGGCCTTGAAGTCACATCACAATTTGCACAAATAGGAAGGCGAGAATGAACAAAGATGAAAAAATGGGATCTGTGTAGAGGCGACCAGAGGAGGCAGAGATCCTCCTTCTAGGGTCAGCCAAAACATTTTTGTTGGTAATTCTGCATGTGGATGACACGGTAGAAAGTGGAAGGAGGGCTTGAATGTCTTACTCATCGAGTCTGACATTGTTCTCCTGAGCATCAAAAGTCTTTTTTCCACACTAGATCATGTTTCCCCTCTGCTAAGCATGGACAGTGATTTACTGGATGCCACAGACCGAGGGCCACCCCTTACCCAGTCCTCCTGAGTGCTTTTGTTTGCACAGAAGTGAAAAGTTCTTTCCAAAATGGAGCTCCCAGCAAGATCACCGATCATTTTTAGTGATTTGCGTGATGACCGTTTAGATATTTCATCATTTTTTCTGCAACCATAATTTGATAAACATATATAGTATATCTTCTCTTTATTCAGCATCCACTAAAGTGCGAACCGGTTTTTCACGTGCTTCTTGAGAATTATTAGAAACGTACTAAGAAAATGCCTTAAAACATCCTAAAGTCTTCCATGTCGTATTCAGATAAACACCGTAACTAGAGGAATTGTTTGCCTCGTGGTGCTAAATTACAGAGACCAAAGGTGATGACCATCTCGTGAGATGGTATAATTGGTATAGTGTGGCCAAGTCTAGACAAAAGAAAATTTCCATTTGAAAAAGGGCTGCCAGCCGGGCGCGGTGGCTCATGCCTGTAATCCCAGCACTTTGGGAGGCTGAAGCGGGTGGATCACGAGGTCAAGAGATCGAGACCATCCTGGTCCACATGGTGAAACCCCGTCTCTACTAAAAAAAAAAAAAAAAAAAAAAAAAAAAAAAAAAAAAAACCACAAAAATTAGCTGGGCGTGGTGGCACACGCCTGTAGTCCCAGCTACTCGGGAGACTGAGGCAGGAGAATTGCCTGAACCCAGGAGGCGGAGGTTGCGGTGAGCCGAGATCGCCCCATTGCACTCCTGCCTGGGTAACAGGAGCGAAACTCCGTCTCAAAAAAAAAAAAAAAAAAAAAAAGAAAAGAAAAAGGGCTGCCATTACAGAGCAGTATAGATGAGGTGGAAGATGAGTGTGTCTCAAGTGTGCTTTCTCTCGAGGCCTCCCTCCCTGTCTTGCAGACGGCCGCCTGCTCACCGTATCCTCACATGTCGATCCCTCTGTGTGTGCAGCTCATGTCTCCTTCATATAAGTCCATGAGTCCTGTTGAAGTGGAATCCCACCCTTATAACCTCATTAACCTTCATTATCGTTTTAAAGGTCTTACCATGAGGATTAGGGCTTTGCATATGAATTGGGTGGGTTGGGGGAGGAGTGGAAATATAATTCAGTCCTATCGCCCTTCCTCCAGAGACGTTTAATTATCCTAGAGGCCGTGTTACGCAGGCATGATACGTTTTGATGTGAATATTGTAGCTCCCACGCATTTTTTACAGTCTCTTTTGTTTATCTTACTACTTCAGTTCCTGTGACAGACCTCGAGCCTGTTACTTTTAGAACCGAGACCCCCGCAACAACCGTAGGTAACGACCCTGCCATTACCTGGCTGTTTGCCAAGTGCTTTTGCTGCTCATTGTACGGTCCTTTCAGTCTCATACCTATAACGTGGCGTGTCTTCCTCTGCAAAATAGCAAATATCACTGCCTGTGACCATTCCACTATTTCTGTCATCTGAAGAATCCTGAAGCCTCCTAAAAACAAGTTTCCTATTGTTTTTATGAGAGCCAGGCATGAGCTTAACTCAAAACATTTACCTGCCACGTGGCATCATTTAACGGAGTTCTGTGTTAATGCTGAATTTAAAACAAATTGGGATCTATTTCATATCTAAGCTGATCAGCAATAACAGCTACTCTCCTTTGCACATCTGAGTTTTTAGATTAAAAAAAAAATTGCCCAGTATGTTTCTTTCTTAATTGGTGCTTTAAGTAATGATATGTTTTATTACTAATTTGACAATTAGGGAATTACTGAAGTCTGAAAAATTATAAGCCTCTTCCTTAATGTGACCCTAACTTCCTGTCCCTTCTCATTGAGTACTCTGCCTCTATCATTTTTCCCCCCAGCAAGGAAATTCTGTAAATTTCTCAATACAAGTGCTAATCTTCATTCCTTGGGTGAGAAATTCTACTGTATACGTGAATTTTCCTGAAAAGTACCATAAATAATAAAAAGGGTACATCGTTATAAAAGGAATGAAAAAGTAAAACTAAAAACAACTCAAGTTCCTGGAACTATAGGACATCTGACAAGTTTTGGAAAAATCTTGTCTCGGTGTCCAGAATCATGAGACCTCGAGTAACACAAGGCTTTTTCTTCCGTCAGCTACCAAAACATCAAAAAGAACCCGCCCTCCACGTCCCAGAGTTAAAACTACACGGAGCCCTCAGGCACCTGAGACCAAACCCGGTAAATGTGTGACCCCTCACAACCTGTCTGTCGCGGTGGGGACCGAGGCAGTGCCAATGCTGAGCAGCCACAGCTCTTATTCTCCCTAAGCACAAGGGCATGAGGCATCATCAGTACCATCTCCTCTGCTCAGCTTTCAAGGAGAATAATGTGTGGGTGAGACCCAACTGGTACCAGCATATCTTATTATTTCTATGTGAGACTCTTTTTTGAAACTACATAGTTAGTGTGTTTCTTAACTGTCAAATCCCATTCACGTCTTAAAGGTAGAGCTGCTTTAGCAGAGCCAACATGTTCAGTTCAGGTAAACGTAATTGTAAGTGCCTTGCGTATTCCTGTTCCCACATTGGACATTGGTGAGCATAGGTGGTGTGCCAGCTGTAGGAGAGTTATTTTACTACAGAAAGAGTGGAGTTGAAGATGGGTTTGGCTGACACAAACATAAAGTGATGATCTTTATGTTTTATCTCAAAGGAAAAGATCAAGGTGGGTTTACACAGGGGGCCAGTTCACTGTCCCTCAGACCGTTGGAGGGCCGCCACATACTGTGCTCCTCTCACTGACCACCAATGAAAGAGGTGCCCCTTCCTGAAGTGCGGCGGGGGCCAGATAAATGGCCTCAGGGGGCCATCGTTTGGGGACGCCTGATTTGGAGGAATGGTTTTGAACTAGAGCAGAAGGACCACATGTGTTGGGTCAGCTAGAAAGGCAGTCCAGTCTAGATGGACTCCTTCTAGATGGTCGTATATGACTGTTGATGATGGTGCATTTGGAAGGGTACTTCAAGCCAGATGAAGCAGGATTTTTGAGTACCTGATTCAGAAGCTTAGATTTTATACAGAGACATCAAAAGTCTTTGATTTCCACTTATTCTGGGCTGAGGGCAGACAGATGCTCTACAGATTATTACAAACTGAGTGATCACGCAGTTCAGAATTAATGAGTTAAAAACCTAATAGAGTTTCATGTTAATGTCTTTAAGCTGCTCAAGACAGCTCAAAAGCTAAGCCTGAAACTCATCATGCCTATAGTCTGGCCGTATCATCAATGAACACACACACTCTTCCCCTCAGTTAGGAAGTTATTTTTTTCTTTGTGTCTCTGGAAGAATTCACAGACTAGTAAAATGTGTTTGCACGGAGTGTTCTAACTTCTCCTATGTTTAAAAATCTCTTTGATTTTACATGTCGTTTTGGTCAGTTCCTGCCACTGTCCTAGAACCTGTCACTCTTAGACCTGAGGCCCCAACAACATTAGGTAACGTTGATATATTGTGTTTTCAACAAGCTTTCTTTTGCTTATTGACAAATGTAGAGTTTGTTTGTGTCTTGGGACAACACTGTCATTCTTGAAATTACGAAGACTCTTTTTTTTTTTTTTGAGACAGTTTCGCTCTTGTTACCCAGGCTGGAGTGCAATGGCGCGATCTCGGCTCACCGCAACCTCCGCCTCCTGGGTTCAGGCAATTCTCCTGCCTCAGCCTCCCGAGTAGCTGGGATTACAGGCACGCGCCACCATGCCCAGCTAATTTTTGTATTTTTAGTAGAGACGGGGTTTCACCATGTTGACCAGGATGGTCTCGATCTCCTGACCTTGTGATCCACCTGTCTCGGCCTCCCAAAGTGCTGGGATTATAGGCGTGAGCCAACGCGCCCAGCCTCGAAATTACAAAGACTCTTAAGTTAACTGTTGTTTTTAAGAGAAGCAGTCATGCATGAATCTATTTGAGGACATTTTATTTGCCATATGACCTGTAAGCAGTGTTTGTGATAAAGCTGTATTTCAAACATATCAGTGGGTCTCTAACTTCTACCTGGACAGATAAAGCTATTAACTCTCACAGAGCCAGGAGGACTCATTGTGCATCTAAATTTCTAACCTTTTTTTCTATTTGCATAGAAATGTATTATTTTGTCTCTAATAAGGTCATAATATGTTCTGATTTTAAAAGTTCTACAGGATATGTGCCAAAAATTGAAAGATTAAGTTGTAAATCTCAGATTTAGTAGAACTGTCCTTCATTATCCATGAAAATTTGCCTATAGTACTTAACTTTTTTGGTGCCCAGGAAGGCTACCCTATGAGATTTCCATTCAAATCTCTAATCTTTATTTCTTGAATTAAAAAGTGATTTTTTGTCTTAAGGAGCTTTCTGTGATGAAATATAAGGAGGAGCGTATGTGACAAAAATCTCAAAAGGCAAATATCTATCAAGCTGTAGAAAGTCATGTTTTTACCTTGCACCCCTTCCAGAATCACAGATGATGTAGTTTTGTAGTAACCCAGGAACTTCTTCCTTCAGCTTCCAAAACATCACAACGGACACGTCGTCCACGTCTCAGAACAAAAACCACACCACGTCCTGAAGCACCTGAATCCAAACCAGGTAAACCACGTGTTCCTGGTTTAAAGAGTCCCTGTAGCCTAAGCCAGCAGGGTCTCGAGAGTGATCCCAGTGGTTGGGAGTAACCGGTATATCCCTATGAGAGGGAAGCCACAACTCATGGTCAGCAGCTGTCCCCACTGTGTGGATGTAAGCGAGACACTGCTGGGAGGTCCGTGGAGCAGCTGAATGTCTCCTGCTTCCTGTGTGCACTGGGCATTTTATTAACTTCCATTTCTCTCTTACAAACGAAACTTCTTTAGAAAAATGAGACATACTTGGCTCAAGTCAACAAATACTAAGTGCCTTAGATAGCCTCGCAATCGTATGAGCACATGTGGGGTATGCATCAGATGTCAGAGATGCATTTTCGTCCTCAAACCTGTAAGAGAGTTGACAACGGAAGCCTTGCCTTTGTAAATAAAGGATGGCATGGGGCAGTACCAGTGCAAATGCAAGACTGGTTTTGCAGTGCTCCCAACAAGATGTGCTAGGTAGGTAAACATTTGGAGCGGGGAAATATGGAGGAAGAAGAAATGGAGCCTTGAAATCACCAAGGTTCATAGATGAGTAGAAAGGTAGGAAGAATAAAATCAGAAGGAAAAGATGCAAGTAGAGACCAACCAGAGGAGACAGTATAACTGGACCACTGACGTGAAGATGTCTTACTTAAAGATGACAGGAAGATCCCTTGTGAATCTCACCAGGACCACGTACACCCATGCCTAGGTCCCTGATGGAGCAGGGGAGATGGATGCGATAGACATCCACAAGCTGTTCTTTCCATACGAGGCCATGTTCGTTCTTTGCGTGGAATGGCGGAGTATCCAACTCCGTTTGTCATGCTAAGGCCTCTGTCTCTTTCCAAAGATGAATTCTTAGCAATACCTACATAGTCCACTTTGGATTATTAGGTAATATCAGAAAGTGAGGAATAAGGGAATAGGTACCTGATTTAGGTATGGCCAGATTTTATGAAATCAGCTGTTTACTTTTTTAGCTTAACAGTGTTTCAAGGTTGCTATATAATTCTGTAAGCTGTATGATACTCGTAAGACTCATTTTTGAAGAAAAGCTTTGAGTGTATGTTCCTTTAAGAGAATCGCTTCGTTAATTTTAATGCTTTTGGTCAGTTCCTACTGCAGACCTCAAACCTGAGACACTCAGAACTGAGACCTGGGTGACAACACAAGGTAATAAATCGCACGTTCTGTCCTCATTCAGTGTTCTTCCTCCTCATTGTCAAACCCATTCTATTGTCAGAGCCACAGATTCTTCTGCTTTTTAAGACTACATCGTCGTTCTCTGCTGTCATTCCATCACGCTTCATCCCCAAAGTACTGCGGATTCTGACTCTTAAAACAAATCGTACTTTGTTTTTAAGAGAGCTATGCATGAACCTAACTCAGGCTATCTTCTGGGTGTGTAACCATCTGAAATTATTTTGTCATCCAGTGTGTTTTTTAACCGATTTTTTGTTAAGGGTGACTTTAAGATGCATTTTTCTTGATTCTAACATTATCACCATACCAGAAAGTTTCTTGATGAATCTAAAGTTCAATTGATTTATTCCTGCCATCTCTTTACTGTTCTATGATTGACATTTTTATTAATTATGTGGTCTTTTTTTAGTGACTGTCAAAGAACTTATAACTGACCACCACTACTACATTTTAGCAGTGACTCATAACTTTTATTTGAAGAGTCTTATTGACTATTCTTCACCTCTTAAATTAGCAATTTCATTTTAGATAGGACATTTCCTTCCAATAAACTTTCTTCCATTGTAAAAGGAGACGTACTATTACAATAATAGTGAATGTTACTAATTAAAAAGGTAAGAAGACAAATTTCTTGAAATATGAGAAAATCTAGTAAGTGTTAAGAAATCTCAGACCATATGTCGTGCTACTCATAGCTTCTGAACTACGGACCCTGTAGTAACGGAAGGTTTTCTTTCTTCAGCTCCTAAAACATCACAACGAACTCGTCGTCCACGTCCCAAACCTAAAACTACACCAAGTCTGGAGGTTCCTCAAACCAAACCGGGTAAATCTGGGTTTCTGATTAAAGTAGCTCATCCTAGCGGCTCTCGGGAATCTAGAACTGATGCCAGTGATGGAACTGACGGCCTGGGTGAAGGCACAGAATGATCCGCGGCTGCCCCCGCTGTTGAGTTAGCAAAGGCGAACACAGTTGGGATAGACCTGTTGGCAGGTGAATTCCTTGCGCTTTCTGCCTACGGGTCTGTCTCTTACTGTGTATGTTATTTACTACTTCCTATTTGATTTGTCCTCATAAAGACAAAATGCCTTCAATAGAACCAGGCATTTTAATTTCTAGAAAAAAATTTTAGTGCCTTCTATCTTCCCACAGCCGCATCAACAACGATGAGGATCTCACGGGAGGAGGAAGTTTGTTTTTAATGTCTTACCCTGTAGTATAGTCGAGGTTGCCACCTGACCCAGTGTGAGACATTCAAAGATTGAAGCAAGGGAGTGTATCTGTGCAAATTGAACTTGTCTTGAGGAATGCTGTACACGTCTACGAGCTTAGAAAAAGAAAATGTTATGAAGAACAGGAACAGGAATAAATAATTGGAAAGAAGTTGGGTCTTAAAATCTTAGAAATGAAGAGTCAAAATGACAGGGGTCGAGGCAAGTTAGAGGGTACAGGTATCATGAAACACGCAGGATTCTGCTTCTGAGTGGAGATGACAGCTGCATTTGAAAGGGTTTATAAGAGCAGTTGAAGAAAGGCCTTCAAGATGTGACTCGGAATTTGCATCTGACCCGAGAAGCATCACCCATCTAGAAAACGCGTCTAGTCCTGCATTTTTGTGACCAGGGAGCTGCTCTGTGTGTTTATCCTATATCCTGATCGGTTGAGGGCACATGAAATCTCAGCCTATGATTCCCTTTGCTTTATTCTTTGCTATGTCTCCTCTCAAGCAGGCTGTTGATTGTATTCATGCTCATTTCGGCACGCCGTTAAAGCTGCACATGGACCCCAGAATCTAAAGTACAATAATTAAAAAAAAAAAAAAAGCTTCCACAAAAATACCGGCAGTTACTAGGACAGTTAGATAAGTGTACATTTGGCAAGCTGTCTGAACAAGCTTCTAGGGCAGTCTTCTACAGTGGGTGGAATTAGATACTCAGACACCTAGGAGAATATTATGTGGACTTTATTGATGTGTGCCAGATTGTGCAGGCTGTGACTAACTGCCTCTTAAAAAAAAATTATCTGGCTATAAGATGGTCACATGTTCAAATAGCAAGTTCAAATTTCAGAGAATTTCTTAAAATTGCTGTATACTGATTGAAGCAATATTATACTGGAAAGATATACTGACTTTTCACAAGTGTTTATTTTGTTACTTTTAATTAGTTCCTGTTTCAGATCTCGAACCTGTTACTCTCAGAACTGAAGCTCCAAAAACCATGGGTAATGAGAATGTGTGTCCTTCAAATAGCGCTTTTCCTGCTCACTGTCATGCTAATGTAGTCATGAGACCATTCTGTCGTCCTTTGCCATCATTCCATTATAGTCTTTATCTTGAAATTATCCTAGACTCTGTGTCAAATTATCAGCTGAATTTGAGAGAACTGTGCATGAACCACTATCAGGACATCAAACTGCTTTTAACTGTTCAACATTGTGTCACGCGATCATGTACATGTGTTTAAACAGCGCTGACCATTTCAAGCTGCATTTCAAACACGAATCTCTAGCTGTCCCTTATTTATGCTGCTTATTCCTCATCAAATGTAGGGAAGTGCAACGTTTCTTTGCTCATATTTTTTTATGACTTTTATTAGGATCTATACAATATTTTCTGTTTCAAGGAATGATGTTTTTAGTAAATTGTCAAATTGTAAAATGTACCAAGTCTTGAAAATGTTAATGACAGGCTTCCATTATAAGATGGACTGACTCTTTATTCATCTCTATGAAGGTTTAACAGTTTCTTAACTTTTACTGAATCAGGGACTACTTTGAGATTTTGATAAGCACAATTGATTAATCGCGTGGTGTTCTTTATGCTTTCATATATATGGATTCCTTATGGTACTCATAGTTACTTAAACAGTAGATACTGAGACATTTATCTCAACCTCTACAGAAATGCAAGTAGACTGATAAATGCCTTTTTCAGTACAGTTAGAAAAGCATATATTATGCAAATATGTAAAAAGCTTGTCGAACAGTCTTTCACTAATGTGTAGCAGGAATCAGATAAGCATCTAGGAGAATGTCTTGCTGACCACGTAGCGATATTAAGCTGAGTGCAATGCTGTCTTTCAAGTCGGTCTTCTGAGACTAATTGGCACCTAGCTATGGTTTGGCCCAGTCTGCAAAAAACGAGTCTGTCTTTTCTCTCGGTTCTGAAGCTTAAAAATTGACTTGTGAAATTAATATTCAAGTTAAATCTCTTGTTTATTTTATTATTTTTGTCTAGTTGTTACTACAGGCCTTGAACCTGACACTTTTAGAACCAAGGTTCCAGAAACAACGTTAGGTAATGACATCCTATGTTCCTGAATAATTTTTCCCTGCTTATCTTCAGATCCATTCTGTCGTGATCATAATCGCATTATCATCAGCTTTGTAGGACAATCTTGTCACCCTCTGCTGTCCTTCAACTTTATACTGCTGCTTTTTGAGAGGATTAGTGATCCTTAGAAGTTACCTATTATTTTCAAAAGCTGTACATGGACCTAATTCTCAGAGTCTACCATGTAGTCTTATTTGAATTTGTGTCATGTATTTTTGTCTAAACAGCATTCACGTCTAAAGATAAATTTCAAACACAGTTGCTGGTGGCTGTATCTTATCTAAGCTGCCTAAACTCTGACGGTTCTTATGGTATTACGGATTCTTTGGCATACTCAAAAGGTTTAGTGTAAACCTGAGACTCTATCACCCAGAGTGTGGCTCTATTGTTTTTCCAGTTAAAGATGTATGAGTCTCTTCACTTCTTGACTTGATTTTATATGTAAGTTGTCTCTCTCAAGAATTTTCAGTGGTTAAAAAAACATTAACAAAATAGAAAATACTTTACTCTTAGAAGATATGGGGCTGAAATCTCAAGGAAATATAATATACCTTTAAAAACCGAAGTTTTGTCTCCAAAGCCACCTGCACTAGAGTAATCCAGAGTTTCTTCCTTCAGCTCCTAAAGCACCGCGGACACGTCGTCCACGTCCCAGACCTAAAACGACACCTGAAGTGCCTCAGACCAAATCGGGTAAATGTATGATTCCTTGGTTTAAGGAGCCGAGGAGCCTGAATCCTAGCAGGTTGTCCCAGTGAAGTCCCAAAGAAATGCCTGTGATGGGAAGTAACAGGCACCATGTTCTCTAAGAATCAGATTATTTGACAGGGGCAGCAGCTGCTGCTCGTACAGAGCTGTCCAGGAGAACATGACTTGTGTGCCTTATCTCCTAAATGACTTGGTTTGGATGAAGTTCTTAGTCTCTCTTTAAAGATGTGTTTACAGCAAGATTGGCATGGTTATTTATGGGTATTTATTGCTGTATCTGCATTGAAACGTGATCCATTTGTTACAGACATGATTACATAAACAGGCATTTTTTTTCAACTTCTAAGAAAGGCAATGAGTTAGTTTCATATATATTTCTCTATATATTTTCATATATATTGCCTAAACAAATTTCCAATGCAAATATCCATACTAGTTAGAAAACCGTATGCCTAGGAGAACCTCACGTGGATAATATCAAGACTGCAGCAGATTTCAAGGGTTGTAACTGCCTTCTGTGATGACTTGTTCTGGCTAATGTGGCCAAATCTTCCAAAAGCAACTATATGCTTCCTATCAATTCCAAAGTTTAAAAAAATATATATATGTATCCTTTGCTGAGCATGGTGGCACATGCCTGGAATACCAGTTACTCAGGAGGCTGAGGCATGAGAATCACTTGAGCCTGGGAGGCAGAGGTTGCGGTGAGCCAAGATCGTGCCATTGCACTCCAGCCTGGGCAACAGGAGCGAAACTCTGTCTCAAAAAAAAAAAAAGAAAGAAAAAGAAAACTTGAGGGTGTTCTTGAAAAAAAATGTGTTTAAGCGTTCTTGTATTCATGTTGTTGCTTTTGGTTAGTTTCTGTTACAGGCTTTGAACCTGTTGTTCTTAGTTCTGATGCTCCAGGAACAACATTTGGTAACGATTTTTGTGGCTCTCATTAAATGCTTTTTATTGCTGTTTATAACTCCGCTTGAGCACTGTCATGGCCAGAGTTGCTTCCACTTCCTGCAATGCTGCTGTTATTCCATTCTACTCTTCATTTTAAGATAGTCAGGGGTCTGAATTCAAGTGTTACCTGTTCTTTTTCACAGGTAACAGTGAAGGACAGCTATCTGTCAGGAAACTCTCTTTTAAAATGTACCATATGATTCAGTGATAAATATGCAGTCCAAATTGGTATTTAGTATTTATAGATCGAAATACTCTTCCATTTGTTATTTGGATCTGTAAAGTAACAACAATTAAGTACCATGAACTCCCTTTGAGTAACATAGTTTCTATAAAATCTCTGTCTTATTATTCTCTTCCTATCTTACAGAATAAGGTGTCCCTGTTACATTAGCATAAAAAGTGGTTTTTCCCTGAAAGTTCCAGGCTCCTTAATCATTGATGAGCCTGACCACTCTTCCTCACCACAGTTTAGCAATGGCTCTTAATCTTTGCAAAATAGGAATCCCTCTGAATGTCTATGCATGTTCAGTATTTATTTCTTTAATCACTTCATCTGTGATTTCGATCTCTAAAGGAACACTTAGTGGTGATCAGAAACAAAGTAGTAATTTTTTAACTTAGAAAATAAACTCAAGAAAATATGTTATAGAAAACGTAGGTCTACATACAATGCTTTTCATGATCTCCAGACCTACAAACACCATAGCGACCCAAGATCATCACCTTGTCGTTTCAGAAACATAAAGGAGGATGAATAGGGGTTATTCCATCTCTCAGAACTTAAACTCCCCAAAGCCTCTCATTTGAAGTAAGGAAAATCTGTGGCTTAGGTTTTAGAAAGTTTAAGGAGTCCTTCTAGCCCACTACAGTTCAATCACAGGAATGACAATAAGTTTAAACATCTTCCCGTTTCTGTGCCTTCTGAGAGAAAAGGCACTTAGAGTGATCAACAGCTGGGCAATTACAGGGCCCATCATTAGGTTCCTAGCTCAGGGAGATCTATGCAGTGGCTAAATTCATGGTGTGCCCTACGTAAGGACTGTATCTAACAAAGGATGGATCTTATAAAGTTCTCTTACTCCATTTCATTCATCTCTTTCTCACTGGTGCTGCTACTTTTGCTTAAGAAAATAACGTTTTCCTCATTCTTTGTGTACCCGGCACCGTATTAGCAGTTGAGTGACGTGGAATAAGGAGCAGAGGTAGAAACCAAAAGAAAAGACATAGTTTACCTCTTAAACCACAAAGTAATTATGAAGAAAACCGAGGGTTTTCTTAGATACAGTTTTCTAGATATAGCTCCATTTCCTCATATGAAAACTGCTTGTTTAATTGAGTAGTAAAACAGAAAATATTTACACGAGTCAGGGAACAATCTGGGCTGCTGACAGAGTAGTTGGGTTTTGAAATAATTATAGGATTTGGATTAGAGGGTGGAAGAGTGGGGACAGCACGAAAAACAAGTGTCAATACTTGTTAAGGGTGGCTGAGGAGATGGTGAAACTGAAATATAGAACAAAATGCTCCTAGATGAGATGCAACATTTTGTTAATGTTACTGTCATGGAATCAGCCATAGGCAGCTCTTAGCTCTTGTGGGAACTGCGATTTCAGATACGGTAGTCCATGAGAACTTAATTCTCCAAATAGATTCCTGCTTTTTTAGAAGGACACTTTGAATCAGGAGTCAGCAATTTTTTTTTTTCCTGTGAAAACTTAAAAAACAGTAACTAGTTTAGAATTTGTAGGCCATTCAGTTTCTGTTACAACTACTCAATTGTACTGTTTTAGCTTAAAGGCAACCAAAGCTGACAACATAAATATGCCCGGAGCCGTTTTAGTTCACGATATGGCTGTGTTCCAATAAAACTTTATTTGAATTGCATACCATTTTCACACGTCATGAAATATCACTTTTCATTTTTTGCCAACACTTAATGTGAGAACCATTATTGGTTCACAAGCCAGGCAGAGGGCTAGACTTGGAAGGGCTGTAGTTTGGGGACTTCTGCTTTAAATAGAGCACATTCTGCATGGCTCTCCCTAACCTCACGATTTTCAGTGTCTTTCCGTTAATTGCTACCTCTGTCGAAAATCTATGAAATAACTTAAAATTATTTTTACAATTTAGACCCTCTTCTTTCAGCTCCCACTGAACTGCAAACTCTTATTTTGAAACCAGTGACATCGCCAAGCCTAGAAATGACACAAAGTCCACCGGGTAAATAGACTGATTTATCTGTCTGGGTGTACTGTGTGCTTCAAGAGGCATACTGTAAATCCTCTATATTTCCAAAGATTAAAAAAGTGAAAAAGGAATACAAATTTAATAACTCTATAAATATTGCACAGTGCTCTTTTTTGTGATTGCATATTGTTAAATTAGTAATACATTAATATTGCTACTTGAATGTATAAAACTTTTCATTGCATTTGCTCTGTATCATTCTAGAAAATAGTGACATCTCTGATTAAGCGGTTGACAAAACCACTTCGAATAACTAATTTTATTCTTTATTATGTTTTTCAACAGTTACATGTTTGTGGCTTTTTTTTTTTTTTTTTTTTTTTTTTTTTTTTTTTTTTTTGAGACGGAGTTTCGCTCTTGTTACCCAGGCTGGAGTGCAATGGCGCGATCTCAGCTCACCGCAACCTCCGCCTCCTGGGTTCAGGCAATTCTCCTGCCTCAGCCTCCTGAGTAGCTGGGATTACAGGCACGTGCCACCATGCCCAGCTAATTTTTTTGTATTTTTAGTAGAGACGGGGTTTCACCATGTTGACCAGGTTGGTCTCGATCTCTCGACCTCGTGATCCACCCACCTCGGCCTCCCAAAGTGCTGGGATTACAGGCTTGAGCCACCGCGCCCGGCGGCTCTCTTTAATAGTAAAATAAATTTGTACTAAAAGAACCTCACTAGTTCAGTTGTGACCATAAAGGAAAGAGAAATTCTCACTGCAGTAAAAATAGTAAAACTTCTTCTTAAACAATGTGAGCCACTCAAAACATACTGCCCTTCAAACTTGTAAACAGGCTGGGCATGGTAGCTCACATCTGTAATCCCAACATGGTAGCTCACGCCTATAATCCCGGCATTTTGGGAGGCCAAGGTGAGTGGATCACAAGATCAGGAGTTCTAGACTAGCCTGGCCAACATGGTGAAACCTCATCTCTACGAAAAATACAAAAATTAGCCGAGCATAATAGTGCATGCCTGTAGTCTCAGTTACTTGAGAGGCTGAGGCAGGAGAATCGCTTGAACCTGGGAGGCAGAGGTTGCAGTGAGCCCAGACCATGCTACTACACTCCAGCATGGGTGACAGAGCATGAATCCGTCTCAAACAAATAAACTAAACACTGGATCCTATTTCTTTTCTAGCATAGGACTGTAATTTCTTTCCATCTCTTTTGAGTGTCTTTTAATTAGATAAATGACATTATGGTACTCACGTTGAATGTACAAAGTAGGCTGTTAATGGTAACCTACAGTAGTTATAATGCTGTGAATTCAGTTCAGTTATGAGAGCCTCCCTTCGTGTTAATAATGTTGTTATCCTAACAGTTAAATAACTGAGCACTTACTGGATGCAAAGCATTTTTGTGAATACTTAACAACGTATTCTTGATCAACTGTACCATTTTCTTTTTTTTTTTTTTTACTAGTTTCTGATGTTCTGGAATCGGTTACATTTAGCACTGAGTCACCAAAGGAGACTATAGGTAAAAATGTTCCCCAATGGGAAGTCAAGCATACGTGCTTTTTCATCTCATTGCAAAAGTCATCTCTGGATGTCCTCATGCTTTGTGACATTTCATAGCCGCCTGCTCCTCACAGCTTGTCCGTGCTCATCCAGTGGGTCTTGAATGTTGTATACAGCACATTGTGTTTATATCTGCTGTATTGCTATGCAAGTTTCATAATTTCCTTATTCTCACTTGAAATGACAATGCGAACCTTTTAATTCTGATCGCTCTTTCAATATAAATGTGTACATATACGCACAACCTATTTTCACTTTCATATCACTTTTTGGATTTATCTATGCTTCTGCTCTCCAAGTACTCATTCTCTGTGTGTTTCTTACTGGAATTCTTACATGAAAAAAAAAAATGGAAGGGGAAGTATCCGCTTTGTTCCAGGTAGAATTGCTGTTGGCTTCGCCATATATTATGTATGGGATATGTGTGTTTCCCACATAGCACACTGCCTTCATTTCCTGTTTTCATTTCTGCCCTCCTAAATTGGAGTTATCTTCAAAATCTACCTAAATATTAATCTCAAGAATGAATCTGCTTAAGATAGCTCAGTTCTATTTTCAAATTAAATGCAGGGTTCTATTACAGTATGCTTTGGGCTGCCCGCCGCTAACCAGCCATTCCCATTTCTTCCCTAGCACCAGCCAAAACAGACTATGTATATCCCACTGCCAAATCACCACTCTGGCCAGAGGAGTCAAAGACTGAAGGTAGCAAAGGTTTTTACGCTTCGATTCATTTATTCGACACCTTCTAAATGAACATCAGTTACATCCATGGAATATGAAAGTTCAAGCTGTGGTTCTTGATTCCTGCAATTAAACAGATTTTGAAGAGCTATAGCTTCCAACATTCTTGAATTCTTAAAGTGATGATTGACTGTCTCTGAATACAGAAGTACATTCCTGTCTCTCTGTTGAAGTCTAAAGGTTAAGGCATAGTAACATTTGAAACCCGGTTAATGACAGTTAAATCATATTAATTGGAGGGTTCGTATTACAGAATAGGATTTTTCTCCTAATTCTTTTTTCCTGTGTATTGTCCTGTCTGTAAAATCACGAGGCAAGTTCTTAACAAAATTTGATATTCAAAAAAATACTTTACAGCTTAATCTCTTACAGTTTCTAAAATTGTTCTCCTTTGTTTTGGTACAGTTGTGGAATCTATTACACATGTGTCTGAACCACCTGAGACCACACTAGGTAATATTCTCGGTAGCTCAGCCCTGTGTGCTTCTCTGTCCTCAATTGCTGCCACCACCCGAGAACCTCTGGGCCTCTCTCATTGTAAATTCATGTTACACCATCACTCTTGACCATAGCAGTTACTTTTCCTTCAAGGTGCTCCTATCCATAACCACTGTCCAAAAATGTCTTTCCTTCAATTCAGTTGTGTAACAAGACTTTGCTTTTTTCTCTGCATTGGTCAGCAGAACTGTTGAACCTAAAGTACTTTTTTTCCTAACTCGGAACATTCTGCCAGCTTGCCCTGGTGTTGAATGTTTCAGATCATGCTTCTCTGATGTGATGATCCGTTTATACTTTCTGACCTAGCAACACACTTGCAATTAACACTCATCCCATCACGTTTATTTACACATGTGGCTTTTTCTCCATTCTTTAAGTGAAATTCAGTGCTGCTTAACTGACTCATGCTGTAATAGTTTAAAAATTCCTTTATCCCGTCATGATTCCTAATGAATATATCTTTCTAGCATTGTTGAGGTAGAGTCCTGTGAAATGAGGGTTTTAGAAGTACTTTATAAGCTGCATCTGCAAGCTTTTCTTTAACCAAATGCGTTGTGAAGGAGTAGGAATGCTGTTTTGCTGCAGACTTGCAATTTTCTTTATTTTGAAAAATCTATTTGTTACCATCTGGTCTGTCAACTGTACTCAAAGTCTGTCGAGTGCTATAGTAACCAGTGTACTTTCCTTCGATTACCATAGAAACGTCTCCTCTGCCTTCTCAATCTATAATCCTACCCAGCCCAGATGAGCCTCAGACTGAACCCGGTAAATACATTATTTTGTATATCATATGTGAGGTGAGTGTTTGCAGAATGTCAGTATGGTCACCTCAAGCCATCAGAGGCCCTGACTTTATTACTCTGCCCACAGTCTTTGATGGGTAAGCCTACCTGTCTGATGTCCTGCTATCATTGATAATTACTTAAATGGGAGGGTTGTTCTTTAGCATATGGTTGAAAACACCTCTCTGCTGCTCTGCAAGTGTTCAATTCAGAGAATAGGAATGCTTCTGGAAAAGGACATTTATATTCTGATCTATTTTTAAATGTATATATTCTGATTTTAATTCTGATTCATCTCAATTAGTTTTACAAGTTCTATGATCATGTAAAAAATAATTTAAGCTTTCTAATTTGCTTCTGACATTAAAAGAAACCTCCAGAAACAGGTTTGACTGTGCAATCCACATGTAAGGGGATGTACTGGCCAGTCACCTTGTAGTTATTCAGATACCTGACTTCTTTCCACCCTTTTTATACTGCTTTGGCCATTTCACTGCATACAAATAAGAAAAACTGAAATCAAACCAATTAATTTGGCTTCTCATAAAAGTTTACATATTAGAGTTTGAAATGAATGAAAAATAATCAAATGAGTATCTAAATGTGCCTCTTAATTCTAAATAAATTCTCTTAATAGCTATAGGTTTCAATGGAATAGAAGGTTACAAATAAGCCCAAACTTCTTTTTTAACTGTCATTAAATATTTTTATATGGCTCTGCTTCCAGGGGAGACGTGGATATTAAGTTTACTCATTGTCTGCTAAATATCCTACTAAATGTTGCCTATAAACCCTACAGTTTTTTAACCAAAAAAAAAAAAAAATCTACATTGACTAAAATAATGGAATCTATCAGTTATACCAAACTTTTCCAAATTTCGTTCTTAATAACCGTAATTAATATTATGGGAATGTCTCCTTGCAATTAGTGCTATTAGTGATTCTTATTCTGTATCATTTTTCGTGGAATTGCTTCATGACATGCCTAACCTTCAGATGGTCTTTCTTATTTTCTGGGGAAAGTAAGTAGCACATCAGTTAGAACTGTAGCAAGTAGGGTAGTTGAGAATCAGAAAATCACAAACTCTGAGAAATTCTAGAATCACAGAATTTTAAGATCGGGAGGCTTCCTAAAAATTGTATCACTTTGATTAAGGACCGGAGACTGTATACCCAATGATTAGCAAAGGGAGCTCTAAACCCCGAAGTTCCAGGCTTCTAAACCAGGTCATCTCCAACATATATCAGTATTCATCTCTCTATAGGAAAGAAGATTCCACTGAAATCACTGTATTCCTTCCATTTTTTTCATTTAGTATCAGGAAGAAGATTCTGCAGACTCCTTCAGAAATTTCTGGTGTCAAATAACCCTTATTTTCAGCAAGTTTTTCTTAAGGTGTCTGACGCTGACCATGTTTCTCCTTACCTTTCTTTATCCCAAACACACTTTAGTTCAACCAAATGAGGTTTTGCCACAAGCTGCCACCTGCGTCTGATAATTCTTTTCCTTCAGCAGGATAGATTTTTCATTTTTTTGGTGAAGAAAAAATTGATTTTTACACTGAATGTCCTATAATTTCTTTAGGATTTGCCCAGCAAAGGAATAACTCTCCATAGAAAATATTCTTGGTGTTCAATTTATCTTCCCCATATAGCCAATTAAAACTGCATTTTGTTTAGTAAGATTAATGTTTCCCTTGCCACTTGCTATTAAAATATACTATATATTTGGAATATAATATGTTAACTTTGTTTTTTATTTAGAAAACATGTATTTGCATTTAAAATGGCACAGCTAAATATTCTGATAAAATTATATGAACTTATAAGGATGAATGCTTGTTATTATAAAATTTATCTTCAAACTATTTAAAAGGTATTTGATGTCAATATTTCTGAAATCTCAAGTTTCATTTTGCCAGCCGAACATCTTAGATATCATTTAATGTGACTTTTGTTTTCTGTTACATAAAGAAGTTATCTTCCTATACTTTGCAGATCTTTAGGAGCGTTCACTGTTGGGTATTGAGGTTGCCAGTCACTCAGTAAACATCTTTGAGCTTAGGTACTGCCATTCTTGAAGGGCTCAAGATTTCCAAACCTTTATCCTTTCTTTTAGCTCCCAAGCAGACACCGCGTGCTCCTCCTAAGCCAAAAACATCACCACGCCCAAGAATCCCACAAACACAACCAGGTAAATATATATTTTACATTTTAGCTTGAAAAGTTCGAGGTTAGTGGGATTATTCTAGCAAATTGTTTATTAATAGTTATGATAGCAGATTGAGTCTTTAACACTTGTAAAACAAGTCTTTCTCTATAACCTAATATTTAAATTTATTTCTGGACTTGGTAAAAAAGTACGTCATTGGAAGAGCTTATTCCACAGAGCTTCCCTTCATGTTGTGTTATTGAAGATAAGATGGATGTGAATGGCATTTCTTAGCCTGCTTGCTTCCCTTTCCTTCGCCAGCCCGAGACTATACTCCTGTCCCTTCCACTATTCCTGAATGTGCTTCCTTCTGCCAATCATCTAATTTAAAACTTTCGCCAATACATGGCCTGTCTACAATAAACATCTAAAGAACACCCACCCAGGATACCAGGAAAGGACGCTTTGCTACCACAGATCTGGTCTAGGGAAAGGAAAATGTTTAGCACCATCACATGATGATTGACCCAGGTAGTGATTCTGGATTCCCACCACAAATATTTTACTCATACCTCAGAATCTCTGCCATTAGGTGCTGTCATACTTGTTTTTCTACAAGGAGAAAAAAAAACCCTGTAGTTTTCGATGTGGTCTCTTAATATCAATTAAGAGAAATGTGACCTATCATGAAACCTTCCATTTTGAAGGAAAATTCCACAGAAGTCATCATCTTACTCTGATGCTTTGTAATTTGAAATTTTGCAGTTTCTCGGATTTCACTGTTCTAAAATTATCTGGAAGTCTAACTGACCTAGTTCTAGAGCTTAAGGTTTAGTTTTCTGTCTGACTCCTATATGAGTAATGCTTTGTTTTATCAGTGTTCAGGCTACACCTTAGCACACCTTAGGTGTTAAGCATAAGATTATTTTATGTTCCATATTCAGCTAATGATTTTAAATTTGCCTTATTTAGCATAATTGTAAATATAATCAATTACTAAAACTTAGCTATAAAACTACTTTATTCTGATAATAAATATATGAAGGTACCAAGGTAACATTCCCCCAAATAACACGAAATTTTAAATAACAACAATACATTTGAAACATTAATATACTAAAAGTCTTAGAAAAATAACTAATGATTAGTGAATAATGAATAGGGATAAAAACATATCAAAGTTTTAAGAATATACCAAGTTATTAAATAGACCAAGTATATTAAATTTGTTATTATAATAGGAAACTAAAATCTGACTTTAAAGATCAACAGACAAAACTATATGAGAAGAAGCTCTCAGCTTGGATTTGAATATAAAGCTGAGACCAAAGGAGAAAACCAATGAAAAGAAGAAAGCATGAAAACGTGAATGTTGAACTATAAAAAATGAAAAATAAATACTAAAAGTTAAGACACTCGGGCATGACTCATGGTCAATAAATTTTTAAGGCACAGGAGATATGAAGTCATAGGAAAACTTTACCTGCAACTTTATCTTTTTGAGCTGTACTTTGTACTTATTAAAATGCAGCATAGTAAATAAGAAGCTTGCTCTAATTTTCCATTATTATACGACATTCTAAGTTTCAAATAGTTAACAACTATCCCTGTTTATACTTTTTATGAAAATAGGGGTGTGGATAAGCAGAGTAGAGAGCTACCTCCTAGAGAACTAAGACCTCTCTTAGTGCTCTTCTGACACCTCTCCAGCTCTACGTGTTCAGAGTTAAGGCTTTGTCCCTAAACCTGGTATTGCCCCTGCCATTATGGTCAGGGTTCCCCATTGCCCCAGAAGTGTGACACCCCCAGGAATAATCACAAGGCAACTCTTACCACTGTGGTATTCAAACAGTGTTTAGATTTTACCTAGACTCAAATTCACATCCTAATGAACCAACTACTTTACCAGGTCCTATGGGTTATAGTTCAGAAAACAGGGTAAATGACATGTGTATTTTAATACGTATTAGTATCCTAGAGAAATAAACTCTTCCGTAAAAGTCTAAAGATGTAAAACGTAATGCTGAGGTCAGGACCGAGTTATGTTTTATTGTGACATTTATCTCAAAATTTATTCTGAGAGCGATCAGAAGTAACAAACTTGGATTTCTTGACCTGTATTGAAGAGGAAGTCAGTCTCAGAGTCACTGTACAGCACTTCCATTCTGTAGATTCCTGGGCATAACACCAGCTTCATCCAGTGAGGCCTTTCGAAAAAACCTTCCAGCCATTCAGTTGAATTATCTATTACATTTAATGAGGAATCTTGACAAATTGAGCCCATGCTCCATGTCCACACCAAAATGACAGTGGCTTTTCTCCTCATCTACCTTGGAAGAATGATTTAGAATTCAGAGCAAAGAACGCCCTCGCTAGATTATAGGTCCCATTTAACTTGGATTCTACACAGGAGGGGGTCTAGTTCATCAGAGCTCTGTCTTCCTTGTGAGTTCCTTTCTATACCGAGAGCCGTTGTGGCTTTGCGGTCATCCTTCCGGCCCCCCAGGCACTGGGATAGGTTTCAGTCATCAGGAGCAACCCAGGGAGAAACTCTGGATATCAGCAAGCTGTCCAAGTCCTGAATATTCTATGTGTCTCTTCCCTTTGGAAAATCCTGATTGGTAGTCTTTGGAATTTCTGTAGTTCGTTTTATGTTTTCAGTTAAACTGGTTTTGAGGGGAGTTTTGGGTGAATAATTGTTTAATTCTAAATATTTCTTAAAAATTGAAATCATTTGCTTAGATTACTTACTTTAAAAATATCGCCAGATTTATATTAGGGAGAAACCTGATTGGCTATTCACCTAATAAGGGTATTTTTTTCTGATACAGTCTTAGAAGACAATACATTTAGAATTGAGCAAGCCAATATAACAACAGTTAGCAGTTATTTCCATGTATACTTTTTATCAAAATGGGAGTTGGGAAGAGCAGGGTCGAGAACTACCTTCCTAAGAGCATACTGTTCCCATGACCATTCTACAATGCTTCATTAGCATCTTCTAGACATTTTTTCCTAAAGCTGCTTACCTTTCCCCTTAAAGATATACTATGTAATTTTATTCTTTGTTAAATAGTTTTTTTTAATCAATTTTCCTAGAGGCAAGATATCTTTCTTCTCACACATGAGAATTCAAATCAGGAGTTATCAGCAATTTGCTTATTTGCCCTGATGATATGTTAGATACCAGTATGCTTTTCTCTCAAGTTTTAGTGACTCTGTACTTTGCCTCTAAATCTCTTTAAGATTATATGCTATGCCACTGATGTGATTAATGAATTATTTCTTTAGATTTTTCTTTCCTTTTTTTTTTTTTTTTTTTTTGGAAACACGATCTCACTCTGTTGCCTGGAATGCAGTGATGTAATCATAGCTCACTGCAGCCTCCATGTCCTGGGCTCAAGTGATCCTCCTGTCTCAGCCTCCCAAGTAGGTGGGACTACAGGTATGAGCCACCATGCCTGGCCTAGATTTTTTAATACTGTTTTACAAGAGTAAATTGGAAAAGAAGTAGAGACTTTTGGGAGAGGTCCATTTAAGTCTTTAAAATGCTGCTTAGTGGCTGGGTGTAGTGGCTCATGCCTGTAATCCCAGCACTTTGGAAGGTAGAGGCAGGCAGATCATGAGGCCAGGGGTTCGAGACCAGCCTGACCAACATGGTGAAACCCCGTCTCTACTGAAAATACAAAAATTAGCCAGGCGTGGTGGTGCGTGTCTGTAATCCCAGCTACTCAGGAGGCTGAGGCAGGAGAATCGCTTGAACCCAGGAGGCGGAGGTTGCAGTGAGCCGAGATCACACCACTGCACTCCAGCCTGGGCAACAGAGCGAGACTCTGTTTAAAAAAAATTAATAATAATAACAATGCTGCTTAGTAAAGTTTGATGCTGGTTCATGAGCACTGCCCATCTTTTCCAGATTTGCTCTGAAAAAATTGCACTAATGCATGTTCAGTTCAGCAAATACTGATTGCCACTGATCGGCCTGGTTTCATGCTTAGCGCTATCAAGATAAAAAGAATTAGATATTATCCCAACACAGTGCAGTAGAGAAAACAGGAATAATAACTGTAAAACAAGGCAAATCTTAGTAATTAATGGGCTAGTAATATAAACAAAACACAATGAAATCACAGAGAAGTAATACATTATAAATGAATGAATTGGAGAAGGTATCATCAAGAAAAAGAGCTTTAAGACAGGTTTTAATAGACAAGTAGCTATTGATGATTTTTAAGGAAGCAAAGATTCAGAGGTATAAAAAGTGCTCCATATAGCTGAGAAACAGCATGATTCAGAATGACTATCTTGCCGGCCATATGATGGGATTATTGAGAGATGGAGACTTCATTGATATATTTGAGAGCTTTTAGGTTATGCTAAGCACTTCAGATTTTTTTCTCTAGACAATTAGAAGCCATTGAATTTGTGTGCGTTTCTTTGTGTAATCATGGGAGTGATATAATTACATCTGCATTCTGGAAAGATGGCCTTTTTTTTTTTTTTAATGGAGTATTAACTGGAAAAAAAAAGATGAGTAGCAAGGAATCACTTAGGAGATCTGCAACAATCTAGAAAGGTAAGTCTGAGAAATTGGTGGAAAGGCAACCAGGGGAATAGTGCTGAAATGCCTTTGGATATGGAACTGCAAACACCTAGAGAATGACCGCACGCTGTTACGGAGAGAAGGGTGACAATACTGTTTCTGGACTGGGCAGGTGGCACATAGTCATGCGGTTTACTGAGACAGGGGACCCAGAGGGAGGAATGAAGATGGGCGTGTACATGCTAGGCTTGTAGGGCCAGCAGAACTTTGAGTGGGAAGACTCTAACTGATGGTTGAAAACGCTTTCTGAACTTCTAAAGAGAAGTCAGCATTTGGAGCACAGACTGAGGAGTCACTTGTTTACATCTAGACCGTTCTTAAATCCTGGATAAATTCAACGAGGAGAAAGTATAGGTGGAGAAAATCAGAAGCCGGAAATCAAATATTTAGGCAGCATAGTTATATTTCAGGAGTAGGCAGAGGAAAAAGAGCCCCCAGATGTTGTCAAAAAAGATAGGGGAGAACCAGGAAAGGAGTTGGGAGGTGAGGCAGGAAAAGGCCTAAGGAGGGAAGCCTGGCAATGACGTTGCAGTGGGAATGAGATGGAGAGGGGTCATAGAGGCTGCCAGCTTGACCGGGTATGTCCGAATCCCACTCTGAAACCTTTTGGCTGTGTGCTTCAGAATTAGCAGTTTCCAGGTTTTAGAAACTTAAATGAGTATATGTACCATTGATTAGAAAGGTTAATTTGGGCGTGGTGGCTCACGCCTGTAATCCCAACACTTCGGGAGGCTGAGGTCAAGAGATCGAGACCATCCTGGTCAACATGGTGAAACCCCGTCTCTACTGAAAATACAAAAATTAGCTGGGCAGTGGTGGTGCACGCCTATAGTCCCAGCTACTCGGGAGGCTGAGACAGGAGAATTGCTTGAACCCAAGAGGTGGAGGTTGCAGTGAACCAGGATCGAGCCATTGCACTCCAGCTTGGGTAACGAGCGAAACTCCATCTCAAAAAAAAAAAAAAAAGAAAAAAGAAACGTTAATGTGTCTTCAGTGAGCAGTATGAATAGTCTGACAAAGCAAGACAACTAAAACCTGGAACAGCCCTTAGATCAGTACAAGTTACGTTTTGCTATTGAATAGATGAAGAGACAACTCAGCCTTCGGAGTTCCTGGACCTGAGAATATGATTAAGGCATTGTTGCAGGAAATGAGGGAAGTGGAGGCTTCATCCGCCACGGTGGATGAAGAAGATACATCTAAAAGTTGAGGAAGCAGAGGCAGATATATAGTGTTTTGATTAAAGGAATGAGAGCAAGAAAGAGGGATTGCTTGAAGGTGAAGCCACGTCAAGGGAATAATATTTGGGGGGAAATATGAGAGTATTTGAACTGTTTCATAGGTAGAGGGGAAGTAACTCAGAGAGAAATGGAAACACGGACAAATAGAGAAACATAGAAATAATGAAAAGTAAAAGGTGTCACATGAAATGGAAGGGAGGGTGGCCCAAGAAATAGGGAAAGCCAGCAGGTGGCCTTTGATGGGGCTTCCTCTCAGACCGGCCCTCATGGTACAAGGTTAGAATAAAGGAATAGAGAGTCTTGAAGTGAAAAGGGTATGTAATATACACGTGTTACTTGGCTAAGAGAATTGGTCTCTTTGTAGTCTACTGCCAGGGTAAACATTATTGCAGACTTCATATTCTAACTTTATCAAAACAAAACACATTATTTTCTGACTCTAAAGATTCATGCACATGCATTTACACTTGTCTATGGTAGATATTGGCCATTCCTACTTGTCTTGTGTTAGCTGGACTTTTCTTTGGAGTGACATGCTTTATTCAAAAAGATTGGTTAGCATAAATGGTATAAGTCGGCTAATTAGGTCTAAAATTATAACAAATATTCTTATAAAGAAATCAAAACTGCCTTCTCAGGAAGTTGTCATTATTTTCATTGATGAGTTTCTCCCGACATGAAAGATAAAGGTTGTCGGGATCCTGCCTTAGCTCAGGTTAATATACACAGGAATGCTACATAGGAAAAAAAAATCAACTTGAATTTCTTGGAGCTGTAGTTGGCCAAGTAGGAGAATGATTCATATTACTTTCCTGTAAATATTTCTATTTTTTGCCTTTCCACTGATTTCACCTGCTTTAGGAAGTCTGCTAAGGCAGTTTATTAAATCATCACTTCATAGTTTAAAAGAAAAGCGCCAATTTTAGCAGCTGGAATCCACATTACCGCAGCCTAAATTCCTCAGCAAACTAGAGCAGCAGTGAATAATGTATTTACAGGATGGTAGATTTATTAGCACCACATCTCTCCTCGGCTTCTCCTTTCCTTACTCCCAGGTCCTTTTAGCTTGGTCTAGTACTGTGACTAACGAGGCTATTTATAAACTAAAGGCTGTTTTGAATGTTCATAGCCTTCACAGAGCTAAATCAAAGTGCCTTCTCCTTCGGCCTCAAGATAAACATTTTATTTCATTTATGGCTGGAAATTTCTCGTATGTTACTATTTGAATCTCCCAAGAAACTACATGCAAAGGCAAAGTATTCACTATTATGGTGGGTTTTCTCCACCTTATCAACCACTAATCTTTTTAAGGTTTCCTTTTTTAAGAAAATCAGCCAGCCGGGCGCGGTGGCTCAAGCCTGTAATCCCAGCACTTTGGGAGGCCGAGGCGGGTGGATCACGAGGTCAAGAGATCGAGACCATCCTGGTCAACATGGTGAAACCCCGTCTCTACCAAAAATACAAAAAATTAGCTGGGCGTGGTGGCGTGTGCCTGTAATCCCAGCTACTCAGGAGGCTGAGGCAGGAGAATTGCCTGAACCCAGGAGGCGGAGGTTGCGGTGAGCCGAGATCGCGCCATTACACTCCAGCCTGGGTAACAAGAGCGAGACTCCGTCTCAAAAAAAAAAAAAAATCAGCCATATTTTCAACTATCCTTGCATGTTACCTTTTAGCTCATAGAGGTTCTGAGTCAGGTTTCTGTTCAGTGTACCAGTTTCACAACTGTAATTTCACTGATAGTTACCGGCCTAGTCTAAGAGCAGATGTGGCATGCAAGTTAGATATGATTCCCAAAAACAAGAAAAATAGATGGTTCATTTTATATAACCTATTTCTACACTAATGGTAAAGTGGTGGATGGCCACCTCATGATAAAAAAAGTTTCCTTCATGTTTCTTCTAAGGCAAGATTCTAGCCTGAATCACAGTTTTTTTTCCCAGCGTCATATAAGATGCAAGGAAATCACACTGCTTGACAAAAAGATCCTGGTATGTATGAAAGGTGTAATGTGGTGGGAAGACCTTTCATTGAGGGAGTAGGGCTGGGTAGGGCCTCCTTGTGGGGAAACTGAGTTGAAGTACTTTACCCTATTTGTGGAATGAGATTTTGTTACAGAAATCTGGTACTAACAATAGGCAAATCACCCTACTATTTTCCACACTGAGAAATGTGATACCAAGTTTCTAATCTACTGTTTTATTTTGCTAAAATAGAATACAAACATTAAAAAAGATACTGGGTTTCAGGGACTGCATAGGAGTTGGCCTCTTGATCAGCTGACATTTTTGTCTTTTGCTTTCATACGTTTATGTGAATCATGCTTGACACCTAATAGACCGGAAGCTGTGTCACTAAAGGAGACAAAAATGGCAACAGCTGTCATTTACTGTGTAACAAGCCCTGTCATTAACCTTACCTGTGGTATCTTCTAACGACTGGCTGAGTCCTTTTGCTTCATTTTCTGCCCCTGCCCCGAGTAACTGTAAGTTACTCATTCAGAATGAGGTTTTGTTAATCTTCTTACATAGTCAAGATTTTTCCTTTCTTACTGTTTCCCTCAAGTTGTAGCCATTTTTGTGCCTTATCTAAGATACATATTTTCTGTTGCTGTTAGTGGACTTTAAGCATGAATATCAAACAGCAGCTAACCACTTCATGCAAAAATTGACTTCCATTTTGGAAACCACTAGAGGACACTCTACCTCGTTGTTTTATTGTGTTAGCTATCTCTTCTTCCTTAAGGAACTCTTCAAAAGGAACTGTGACTGACTTTATTTCTGTTTTACTGCCACCAGAATCTTCCCTGTACGGTAGCATTCATCCATTTTGAAGATAACAGGCATCTTCTCAACTCTGGTTGTTAACCATTGTAAAAATACTTTTGCTTCATGCATTGAGCTTTCTGGGATTTCGATATCTGTAAGTTAAGCTCACTCCAGTTGGGACCTTAAGAGTACACCGTGTTTTATAATCTTTTTCTTTCAGCTCCAAAAGATGTGCTCCTTCCTCAGAAACCAGATCCTGAGGTCTCTCAGAGCGAACCTGGTAAATTAATTATTTCATCCTTCTGGTTATGAAGTATATTTTTCCAAAAAATACTTTTTGAAATAAATATATTTTAAATTGTTGTGATATGGAAGAAATTCAGAGAAAAAACATACAAAATGCATATATCCTTTGGGTAAGTTGAATCATCTGGTTGAAATATTTTTCCATGGTTAGATGAGGGAATAGTACATAGGTTCATTGAGTAGATCATGCTAAAATTGTAAATATTGTTAACTAAGGCAGCTCTTATATTCTTTCAAAATGTAGCAGTAGCTACGTCACAACTATGGGTGTGCTTTTAAGTAAAAAATGTGGGTGCCTACTCAGAATTTTCCCCAAAGTGACAGCGAATGAGAACTTGAAAGTTTTAGTTAAACTAAGTTCTCTGATTGGCATCTAATGTGCAGAATTTTCTCTTTCTCATAATTCTTAGAGAACATTTAAATTATTAAGCCAATGCATCTAAAAAACACAGAAACTCTTGACTTTGCCAGATAATAATTCTCATAAATATGTTCCTTTGGTTTGCTTTTGGCATAGTTCTGCAACCTGTTACCTTTAGATTTGAGCCACCAAAGACAGCAATAGGTAATGGTTTTCCCATATTGACCAACTCTGTTTTCTTTGCTACCATCAAGATTGCGAATCTTTCTCAAATGATCCTATTGAGACGTCACTTCTTCTCAATTCATTGCATCATTTCATTCTCATTATTATTACTCTTTCCGAAATAGAAAAGCCATTATTTCACTGTTGTAATGAGTTTGCTTTGAAGACCACCTTAAGACAACTCATTTCTGAGTTGTATCCATCTTCATTTATTTCATCTATCTCCGTGTTCAAAATGAGTCCACTGTGTTTACTAATGGTGCCCGTTTAACAATTTCCATTGGTATAATGGTTGTCAGCTGTAATGTAACATACTAGCATGTGGCAAGTTTGAATGACGCTGCAAGTAACTATCAATATTGGTCAAAATACTGAAAATCGCCAGTGATTTGTTAAACTGAGCTCAAGCAGACTCGAGGAGATTATCCCAACAAGGATGATATTCCCACTCATTTTGTAATCCTGTATGCTCTCTTGAATGGGGCAGAGAGGGACAGAGCTACAGCCAATAGTCCAGGACTGGGTCTAACCCACACCCCATCTCAACCAGCCATTCTCCTTTATTGGTTCAAGAATAGGATGTCATGTAGTATACGTCCTGGTGAAAAAACAGTTGAGAACCATTATTCTAATATTCCACGGTCATTTTTCTGAGAGTTGTGTGCACACTTAACTTTCTTCTTTCCTTTTTCTATTTCAAGTGAAGGAATTTCGTGTAATACCAGTCTGGTCCGGTGCTGGCTTTGAATCTAAAAATTCACAACTTTGGTCCTTTTCCTTTTTCAGCTCCTCTAGAGACACGAGGCATCCCTTTTATACCCATGATTTCCCCGAGTCCTAGTCAAGAGGAACTACAGACCACTCTGGGTAAATTTTGTTTTAATTTTTGTTCAAGGAGAGTCTGCCTTTTAGGAATTTCCCTTAAAGTAGCCATAATACATTACATTCATGGATTGTTTCTAAATAATAGGTTGTTTTAAAAATCCATTTTACTTGATCCCTTTACATTAACTGTGTATTTATCCTTCTCATATTTATGCTGACTTTCAATATAAAACGAGAATGTTTTAACATATCTTAAGATGTGTTAAATTGGCTCTAGTGATTGTGATTTAGAATACTTAAAAAGTGTATTCTTTAAGTATTAAGTTCAAATGGTTCTTAATACTTAAAAATTTTAAGTATTCTAAAAAGAAAATTGTTCCTAAGTCAATGCTATTCTTTTTTGTTGCATTTTCTGTATTTTAAACGGTATTTGGGAGGAAAAATTAGTTATCTAGTACTTATTAAGCCTTTACTGAGTGCTGAGTGCAGTGATAAGTGAGGCAGTTCTAAAAAGAAACTTTGAAAGAGGAATCCTTACCCTAGAGAGTTCACCCTCTAATATGAAGACAGGACTTAGTTACAATACTGCAGGCTCTGTGCCACCCAATACACTACATGCCTTTTTAAACTTCAAACCAAGTAACTCTGTGAAATTAGTTCTATTACTTGCCCCATTTTACAGACTAAAAAATTGAGGCATAAACGTTTTAAAAATTTGGCCAAGATGAAACAGCTGGTGGCAGAGCCAGGATTATAATCTGCACAGTCAGCCACCAGAGTGCCTAGGATTAACGTCAACATTATACTATATCACAATGAGTATGATAGAGAAATGAGCAGCATGTTGAACAAACTACCTGGAGACATAAGGAAAGGCTTCTCAGGTTAGCGTCATTTACAGCGGGTCTTCAAGTTGGAATGAGAGTTGACCAGTCAAAGACCCAAATGGTTCTTTCAAGTTATGGACAGATGGGAAAGAGGCTCAGGGCAAGAAGTGGCAGTTGGAGTAAACTGATGAGCGGGTAGTTGCCTGGAGAAACAGGGTAAGTTGGAAAGGTCCATTGGGATGAGCTGGACATACTTTCAAGGAGCTCAACACAAATGCATTCGCTCTGTGGAAAACCCCACTTTGCCTCTCTCTTGGCTGAAAACAAACCAAAAAACTAGAGTGCCTGGCGTGGCTCCTCTGTCCTGTCCACACCACATGCCACGTGTCTTTGATTCAATCAGTGGCCCTATTTGCCTCTCTTCATTTCTAATCATCCGTCCTTCACGGGTGCCAACTGAAATAAAGTTAGCAATCACATTTTAATATCCTTTCAGAAGAAAATATTAAAATTGAGTGAGCAAATATATCCTAATCAAATATTCATCTGGTCTAGCTTATGTCTGCAAAATCAATGTCACCCATGATGGAAAAGTTAAAAGAACTTTTCAGAAGCCACTACTGGATATGCTGATTACTTAACTTCTCCCTGTTCTTTTAATGTGCCTTGGTTTATTCACGTCAGAACTACTACCTGTCAGTTACCACAAATATGTTTCTTGAGCAGAATTAAGAGAATAAAAAAAGACAGAAAACAAAATGATAGCAGTTTATCATTTACACCAAGTATTTCCTTGGATCTAGTATGGGCAATGTGAACAGTGTAATTTGCTGTGTCTGTCTGCTCTATGATTTTAAGGTACCATGGGAATGGAAGTATTGCTGTATATATTTTTTTTATTTTGTCAGGAGGATTGTATTTGTATGTCAAACATACACTCTGATTTTCACATGAGAAAAATAGAATATTTGTTTCTATGTGATATAAATACACATCTTTTCATATGATATGTTTTCTTTCCAGCTCATCAAAATAACATGTGGGATTGATGGGCAGGGAAGAAACGTGAAATAGATAAATACCTAAAGGCAACTAGGAGACTTTCATACCTGAGCCATATCCAAGAATAGCCACAATTAGCGTAATGAAACAATGATCTTGAGCTAAAAGCTTTTGGAAATCCTTATGACAATCATTAAAATAATAGTGTAAGCAGATATCACAAATGAGAGTTATTAAAATGTACCATTAACTTTGGATTATTGTGATTACTGAGTGTATTTCTAAATGCATTTTATCCTTTTATTATTGCATGGGGCAGAAAAGAGCATGGGTTTTTTGGTCATATTCATAATGATAATTATTTAAAACAAGCCATCTTACTGTGCTTTCTACAGAAGAAACAGACCAATCCACCCAAGAACCCTTAACAACTAAGATTCCACGAACAACAGAACTGGCAAAGACAACTCAGGGTAATCTTCTCCCCACCTCTGGAGAACAACTTTTCCTTATTTACTTCTAATCAGGAAAGAAATTTTCTTTTCAGAATGTCATTTCTCATCACAGTGGATTACTTGACTGTTTTTTTGTCATTTTATAGGTGAAAGAAGTCAGCCAAATCTGAATACTTATATGAATATAAGTTGAATATAGGGAAGACAGGTTCTTTGATCGGAGCTTACTTTTTTGAATGTCTTGTTGACCAACTTCATGCTTATAACTAAGAATGAAGGATCCCATTTTTTCCCTACAGTTGACCTTCATTTGCCTCAATTTCCATATCTGATAAATAATAACTGTTATCTTCCTCTTCCTCCTCCCTCTTCATCCTGGACATCCTCCTCCTCCTCTCTCTCTTTCTCACTTTCTCCCATCTCTCCCATTTGATGAAACACATTAATATTGTGGGTAAGAAAAAAAGCTATGAACAAGAAAAGTCACTTTTCAAAATTAAGATAATATCTAACTTCCAGAGAAGTGATTTCCTATTTTTTATTTCTTCTCTGTGACTTTCTACTTTGGGGAAAGTGAACTCACATACACAAAGCCCTGTCTCATCTTGATGCACTCAGAATGCTGCTCCTGTTTATACTTTTCTTTCCTGTTATCCTACTTAGGTTATGACACTTGTGGACTTCTAATAGTTTGTTGTTGTTGATGTTTTAATGACCCCTTTGCCCGTTCTGCTTCTATCAGATGGTAGAAAGCCAAAAGTAAGAAAAACAAAAGCAAACATTTAGGGAGTTAGAAGACAAATAAGTATATGTTGCCCATTATGACCTCTAATCTGAGGGAGAAAGCTGGTGGGAGAAGTTTGATACTGAGAGGAAATGATAATAAAAGAAATCTAATTTTAAAGTACATGTTGTGTCACTGGGGCAATATTTATTCCAAGTAAACATGATGAAGAAAGACTCTCTATGGTAAAGGGCAGTTCCTTTAAATTTTCTAAATCTTTTCTGCTTGTTCGTTTGGTTTAACTTTCATTTCATGTTTTAAACTTTTTTTTTTTTTTTTTTTTTGAGACGGAGTTTCACCCTTGTTACCCAGGCTGGAGTGCAATGGTGCGAGCTCGACTCACCGCAACCTCCGCCTCCTGGGTTCAGGCAATTCTCCTGCCTCAGCCTCCTGAGTAGCTGGGATTACAGGCACACGCCACCATGCCCAGCTAATTTTTTGTATTTTTAGTAGAGACGGGGTTTCACCATGTTGACCAGGATGGTCTCGATCTCTTGACCTCGTGATCCACCCGCCTCGGCCTCCCAAAGTGCTGGGATTACAGGCGTGAGCCACCGCGCCCGGCCTAAACTTTTATTCATTAAATTTTTATTTGCTATTTATTTATAATTGTGCATAGAAGTCGGAAGCATAATACAATGACAGCCCTATCACGTCTCTATGATCAGCCTCAACAATGAACAGATGTCCAGTCGCGATACAGCCCTATTCCACCCTGATTTCTGTATATTTATTATTTTGTGTTTTTGCAAATCTCTTTAATTTCTGGTTTAAGGGAAGATAGTTGGATTATCATAATCAAACTGGTTTTACCACAAAATACGTAAATATTTACAAAAAGCAGATAAATACTCGCATTCCACACAGGTTGTGTTGCCAAATGAGAACAATTTCAGCTTTTTAGAGATTTAAGGATTTCAGAATGAAAATAAAAGACAATAGGCCTGTTCTTTCCCTTTTTTTTTTTTTTTTTGCCCTTTCTTAAAGAGAATGTTAGTATTGTGTCACTATTACTACTATATATGGAATTTTAATCAAATTCCTTCAAAATATTGTATTAAATGTAAATTTCACTGGTTATTGGGAGTCTATCCATGATCTCATATCATTATATAAATTGTCTTAACATGTTTGTATATGTTGACTTTTTTCTTATATCCTTAGTTCTTTTTCTATGTTTAAAATTGAAACCCTTGCCAGGCGCAGTGGCTCACGCCTGTAACCCCAGCACTTTGGGAGGCGGAGGCGGGTGGATCATGAGGTCAAGAGATCGAGACCATCCTGGCCAACATGATGAAACCCCACCTCTACTAAAAAAAAAAAAAAAAAATCAGCTGGCTGTGGTGGCATGTGCCTGTAGTCCCAGCTACTCAGGAGGCTGAGGCAGGAAAATAGCTTGAACCCCGGAGGCGGAGGTTGCAGTGAGCCAAGCTCATGCCACTGTACTCCGGCCTGGCGCCTGGCAACAGAGTGAGACTCTGTCTCAAAAATAAAATAAAAAATAGAAATACGATAAAATAAAATTGAAACCTTACGGCAGTTTTCTCAAGGCCATGTATTGTTTGGTGATGAACTATAATAGTAGCTTAAAACCTGAATTCAAATTATATTTCAGCTCTTTCATTAAAAAATTCTCGATTTAAATGAAGACCATGGAGAAAACTACTACAAACATTCAGACGCAGTGGCTTTGAAATAATGTAGTGCTGATTATTTCTGTGGTCTACTCTCAATCTCTTTCCTGTCCAAAGTCTTAAAACTTCCATATGTTCTATAATGAGACAAGAACTATGATTCTTACTTTCTTTTTAAGCAGAAGCAACTTAACATTCAGAGGGATTTCCATGGAAAGCTGAAATAGGTTAAATTAACAGAGAATCCCACCATCTCAAACTTGAAAGAAAAAAATTGCAAATAATCATCAGGCCCTTTAGGGTCTGTAAAAATTAATTTTTAGAGCATCAGTACCTGTGTTCAGTCTGGTTATTACACTTGGGAAGGCCCAAACTGAACGTACAGAAAATTTCAGTATGTGTCCACTGCTGTCAGCTTGAAGTGCAGTGAAATGTTGCTCACCACAGTCTTTACATTGGAAGTTGATAAAGGAGCTACATTATAACCTATTTCACAGGCATGCTTTTTTAACTTCGTAAGCAAGGCATTGCTGATTTATGGCTTTATAAATATCCACTGAATATGTGAACAAAAAGTCATTAAAACGATGTTATCTACTTGCATAGTTTGCAAGAAAAACATTTTCCAAACAGGTTACCAAGAAAGCTGGTGGCAGGAGGAAGTATCTGATGGGGAGGTGGGGACAGAGGCGAGCAGCGTGGAACGGATGAATTCCAGAATAAATGCCTATGTTAAAACCTTAGGATGCGTTAATATCTCATCAGGTTCTCACAAGTTTGCCTGCATACGATGGTCACTCACTTACTCATTTAGCAAGTCTTAGGAGGCCCTTCTGTGCAGGTCCTGGATGACAGGGCCAGAGAGAAACAAGGGTCCGTGCCAGGACTTATCTGAGTTCTTGCTGCTTTCTTGCCCTCTTTTGCCAGGCAGGGCACCAGATGTCATATTCTGTCATTTCCACAGCATTTTGGATGGCACTGAATGAATACGCACTCATTTCAGGTTCCTGAGCAGAGACCATTTGATAGAGACCACATACTCCTATTCTTTCTTCTTTACCTACCTAAACATTCATTTCTCTTTTTAGCTTTAAGATTGTTTGACTTCTTTAGCAAACTAGTATTTCACAATGACTTTTTACTGAGAGGTTAGATGAATGGATAGATGGACAGATGAACAGGCAGATGAATGTCTTACGTGTTTAGCATGTTAAACAACCATCTGGTAAAATGCATGCTCTTGAATAAGGACTAAATGATGACTAATCCTTAGCACACCTTACAAATGAACTACCTCTACGTGCATCTTTAATTTTCAGTCATGTATGTTTTGTTTTCCTTTAGCATGAAGTCTATAATGCATAATGGGAATTTTCTGAAACTTCTTTCTACTTCCATGCAAAGTGCATGAGTCGTTGGTCCCTGGGATGCTAAATCTCCATTCAGGAGGCTTTGGTCTGTTGCTTAGTAAATATAAAGTGTTCCTCTCTTTCAGCACCACACAGATTTTATACTACTCCTGTGAGGCCCAGAATATCTGACAAGCCACACACCAGACCTGGTAAGTTATTTCTCTGATGACTTAAATAATCAGGCAGGGGAAGATATGAAATGGATTGAAACAGCCAAATACGCCAAAGGGGACTACATATCCTTACATTGCAATAAGAGACATACAGAGAGACTCTGATCCATGTGGATAAGTGGAAATGTACTGATGAATCCAGAAATGTGCTAAGACTAGACTACGGATTTTAAGGATAATCAGATGCAGAGATCACTATGAAACTTTACTGATATAAATGTATTTTTAAAATAGTGTTGGACAGTTTTCCATGACAGTTATAGAGATAGCACAGAGTTAGTTATAACATGATATTATTTAATACTTTCAGATATTCTTTCTGTCTTAATAAAAGAGGGTCTCTTTTCAGCATGGAAAAGCTGTTATTCTGGGTGAATATTTTTACTTGATTCCTTCAGAGAATAAAAATATCACAAGTTCTAAACAGCAAAAATAAAGTTACAATTATATATTGGGAAATACATTAAATTTACTAAATTTTCTAAAGGTCCTAAAATCTCCCTCACTGAAGCTTGTTCAGAAAAAAGTTAACTTGGAGGGGTTTAGTTCATGGAAATTACTCTTATGCTGAGACACAAGTTGAACCAAATGCTGGTATTTTATTTTCTTTTTCTTTGTGATTCTGAGTCTTACAGTTCCAAATGATGAAACCTGCTTACAAATGAATGTTCTTGGTGAATGCATCATCTTTAGAACAATAATTTTATATTCTTTGGTTTATGGAGAGTCCATGTATTTTTTTTTATAATTTTCCAACTTCTAAAGGTAATTGGGCACAGAAATCTTTCATAAACACGTGTATCTCCCTGTGACTTGTATGTCATGGTAGGTGTTAAGAGCTTAATGTGAGACTGGTTATATTAAACATTTCTAAAAAGTAAGCAGTAACAATCATGGCTACTAATGACTGAGCACTGGTCATGTGTCCTGTGAGATACAGTTGAGGAAGCTGAGAAACAGAGAACTAGAAAGTGAATCCAAAATGAGCAGTATGGCTCCAGAGCTTCTCGCATAAGCACAATACACTTAATGTTCTTCCTTAAAGAGTTTTCTAAGTAGATTATAAAATTGGTCACTTCTTAAGGCTTTAGTAAGGCTATGACTTTCTCCCGAGCAGGAAAGTGAAATGTTTTCATCAAGTTCTGTGTTTGACAGTGGACTTTGTGAAAGGACTAATATAATGAAACCTCTGTACCTAGAGATTCCCATGACGGGATGTGGAAAGACTCCAGCTTATGAATGGAGGCCTTGACAAATACGCTTCAGATTTTGTTTTTCTTTAGGCATATGTAGTCCTGATCTTTCTTCAGTTCCATTTTGGAACGTAGCTAATGCTTATAAATGAAGCGAGATATTTCCCACTTCAGATTATAAATTCCCTTGCCAGTTACTTTTTCCAAGTCCAGTATTGAAGCCCAGTGATCATCTCGAGAGTACCAATTCAGGTCTCTCTTTTGAAATTCAAGTCTATTATTTTTATACAAGATAGTGGTTTCTATACTCTGAATAATATTTTTTGGTAAATCATCTTTTTTATTGCCTAGTTAAATGACTTTCAATTCTCTCAGAAATTTTGTTTCTCTTGGCTGCAAACTTTCAATAAGAAAATGAACTATTTATACCCCACTTTATTTTAGTTCTGAATAGGACAACTGCAAGACCCATGAGACCCAAACCTAGTGGGATGCCCAGTGGGAACGGAGTGGGAACAGGTAAGAATCACAAATGAACTTCCTTTTTATCCTGTCAAAACTGTAAATGTTACTCAATTTTCATGATTTTGTTGAAGTCACGTTTTAATTTCCTTTTTACCAGTTCTTAAAGTTCTTAGGAAATCTGTAACTGAAAATTATAGCTCATTCCAAATCCAAACTTCAACTGTCTCTAAAAATAGTGAAGACTTTTTCACTTTTCTAAACCTAGTCTACTAGCGACTATATATAATTTTCTTAAAATGATCCTGATTAATTATAAATTGAGTGAAAACACAAAATAGCTATTTCCCCTAATTTCAAAATAGTTTTTATACACAGACTGGTCCCTGAACTGTAATTAGTTGGTTTTTAAGTTTATAATTTAACAAGTACCATTAAACAGTTTTTGAATAACTGCATCTGTTAGCAATCTGGAATATGAAATTCAATCAAGAAATATTTAATCAGAGCAGTTCGCATTTGATTATGCTGGTTACAGTCATTAATGCTTTCAAATCATCCATAGCTCTTATCTAGTCAGATCTATGGGAGTAAGTATCATGTTAGAAAAACTAGGATAATGATCTAACAAATATTCAAACACCCAATTTATTCCTTGTGTAAATGGTAGTTATTTAGATGCCTTAACATAGAATTGTATCATTCTTTTTAAATATTTTTAGTAGTATAACTCTTGTATTCACATAGGTTAAAAAATTAGTATTTTTAATGCATATATTTCTGATTAACCCATGACAGTTGTCTAAAGAGACATGAATAATGTGTAGAGATATTTCGCCTAAAAATTATTTAACTTTAAGAATGTGCTTTTTGTACTTGATTGTTACACTCTCTGAATTTCTAGGAATTCGTTTATCTTCAAACCAAATAATGAGGCCAACACTATAAATCTGTGACTCAGGAAAAGCAACAAAGCATTCCAATATCTATTTGAGCTCAGCTACTCCTTTTATTCTTCCCAACAGTGGGATTCGATTGTGCATAATTTTTGAGATTGACATAAAAAAATTAGGTTGTAAACAGCACCACCTTCTCTCAGCTTCTTTTGGGAGGAAGGCAGGTAAAAATTGTTTAATATTCAAATATTTCTTTGGAAGTTGCTTAGGTTAAAATAAAAGAAAGCACTTAGATGTCAACCAAGCAAATGAAAGACAAAGTAGCTGTGATCACACTAGACAAGGATGACCCCTCTCACCATTCCTATTCAATGTAGTATTAGAAGTTCTAGCCAGAGCAGTCAGGCAAGAAAATGAAATAAAGTGTATTCATTTAGGAAGAGGAAGTCAAATTGTATCTATTTGCAGATGACATGATTGTATATTTAGAAGACTCCATGTCTCAGCCCAAAGTCTCCTGAAACTGATAAGCAACTTCAGCAAAGTCTCAGGATACAAAGTCTCTTTTGTATCCTTAAAGAACTGGATACTGCCATTCACAGTTGCTACAAAGAGAATAAAATACCTAGGAATACAACTAAAAAAGGATGTAAAGGCCATCTTCAAGGAGAACTACAAACCACTTAAACCTAAGGCCTAACACCATAAAAACCCTAGAAGAAAACCTAGGCAAAACCATTCAGGACATAGGCATAGGCAAGGACTTCATGACTAAAACACCAAAAGCATTGGCAACAAAACTCAAAATGGACAAATGAGATCTAATTAAACTCCAGACCTTCTCTACAGCAAAAGAAGCAATCATTAGACTGAACCAGCAACCAAAAGAATGGGAAAAAATTTTTGTGATCTACCCATCTGACAAAGAGCTAATATCCAGAATCTACAAAGAACTAAAACAGATTTAAAAGAAAGAAAAACAAGAAACCCATTCAAAAGTGGGCAAAGGATATGAACAGACACTTTTCAAAAGAAGACATTTATGAGGCCAACAAACATGAAAAAATGCTCATCATCACTGGTCATTAGAGAAATGCAAATCAAAACCCCATTGAGATACCATCTCATGCCAGTTACAATGGCAATCATTAAAAAATCTGGAGACAACAGATGCTGGAGAGGATGTAGAGAAATAGGAACACTTTTACCCTGTTGGTAGGAGTGTAAATTAGGTCAACCATTGTGGAAGACAGTGTGGCAATTCCTCAAGGACCTACAAATAGAAATTCCATTTGACCCAGCAATCCCATTACTGGGTATATATCCAAAGGATTGTAAATCTTTCTATTATAAAGACACATGCACATGTATGTTCATTGTGGCACTGTTTACAATATCAAAGACCTGGAACCAACCCAAATGCCCATCAGTGATAGACTAGACAAGAAAATGTGGCACATATGTATCATGGAATACTACGCAGCCATAAAAAACAATGAGTTCCTGTCCTTTGTAGGGACATGGATCAATCTGGAAACCATCATTCTCAGCAAACTGACACAAGAACAGAAAAACACTGCATAATCTCATTCATAGATGGGTATTGAATAATAGAACACATGGACACAGGTAGGGGGGGCATCACACACTGGGGTCTGTTGCCAGGGGAATAAGGGAGAGACAGTGGAGGGTAGGGAAGTTGGAGAGGGATAACATGGGGAGAAATGCCAGATATAGGTGACATGGGGATAGAGGCAGCAAACCACACTGCCATGTATGTATCTATGCAACAATCCTGCATGTTCTGCACATGTGCCCCAGAACCTAAAGTGCAATAAAATATATACATAAAGAAAAAAGAAAAGAAGAAATTGGTGAGGAAAAAATGTTTAAAAATCTCTCCTGTCCAGATTTCGGACTTAACCTGAGTCCACCTTCCTTTGATTCTGCGTAGTTTTGATCAGACTTCTTTATAGCAGTGCAGCTGTTCACATAAGTTTATTTCTTCTCTGAAACAATTCTGTCTCATCCACACTGACTTTCAGCCTCTGTTGACTCTTCGAATGCATCATTTTTGTGTTAACTACTTTCATGTTCAGCTTTGACATCTTACTCAGAATATTTATCTTTATTATCCATCTCACATATATCTTCCTACAGTTTTTCTTGCTAACATTTTTAACTCAGATATTTCACATTTTAAAAAATTAGTTGATAAAGGAAGTATTTGCAATCTATAGGACATATTCTTTTTAATTGTATTTTAAATTTTTTTATTTCAACACCTTTTGGGTTTTTTGTTACATGGATAAACATGAATGGCTTTTTTGTTACATGGCTGAATTATATAGTGGCGAATTTGAGATTTTAGTGTACTGATCACCTGAATAGTGTACACTAGACCTAATATGTTATAGTTTTTTTATCCCTCGCCACCTCTCACCCTCCCCCTGAGTCTCTAAAGTCCATTATATCCCTCTGTATGTCTTTATGTACTTATAGCTTACCTCCCACTTTTAAGTGAGAACATACAATTTTTGGTTTTCCACTCCTGAATTACTTCACTTAGAATAATGTCCCGTAGATCCATCCAAACTGCTGCAAAAGACAAGATCATGTTCCTTTTTTTTATCACTGGGTAGTATTCCATGTTGTATATATGCCAAATATTTTCTTTATCCACTCATTAGTCAGTGGGCATTTAAGTTGGTTCCCTATCTTTGTGATTGTGAATTGTGCTGCAATAAACATACATGTGCTTGTGTCTTTTTCATGTAGTGACTTACTTTCCTTTAAGTAGATATCCAGTCGTAGGATTGCTGGATCGAATGGTAGTTCCACTATTAGTTCTTTAAGGAATCTCCAAGCTGCCTTCCATAGAGGTTGCACTAATTTACATTCTCTCAGCAATGTACAAGTGATCCCTTTTCTCCACATATACGCCATCATCTGTTGTTTTCTGACTTTTTAATATCCATTCTGGCAGGAATAAGGTGGTATCTCATTGTGGTTTTAATTTGTAGTTCCTATAGGACGTGTTCTTTATGGTCTTAGACCAACTAAGGTGGTGCCCTTGGAAGACTTAAAAGAAAAACAGATTCTGAGGCCTCAAGACTGTAGGCCTTTGATTGTTGAGGTCTCTACAAAAATCTTTTGATTCCATAACCCTCAGGAATATCTTGAACCCAGGGTTTTGTTTCTTATTTCACAACATCGTTATAGATATTTTCCCTGATGTATGTGTATTTTATACATGTATGTGTAGATAGTTATTGCTCTACTCCAAGGTTGGAAAGTAGCCTGTCGAGGCTGAGATCTAAAGTGGGTATTTTTTCTAGCATTCTACTTTCCAGAGATGGGTCTCAGCTTAGCTGATGTGTCCTATCTATTAAAATCTCCTTGAGACCCGCCTACAGGTATGCAACAAGCCATGCATACACTAGGCCAAAGAACTGTGCAAACTACAGCCCCACAAGCCAAATCTGGCCCATTGCCTGTTTCTGTAAATAAAGTTTTATTGGAATACATCTACCTTTCACATACAAGGTGTACTGTGTACAAAGGTACATATACAGTGTAACGGTAGAGTTGAATTGTTGTGGCAGAGACGGTATGGCCCTCGAAGGTGAAAATATCGTCTAGTGTAGGGCTGGCAGACTGTTTCCGTAAAGGATAAATATTTTCAACTCTGGACCATACCGTCTCTTTCACAAATATTTAATTATGCCATTGTGCTGTGAAAGCAAGTACAGAAAACGTTTGCCAATCCCAGTGCTAGACAATCTCTTTCTCCCTGAGAGAAGCTGTGCAGCTTATGTTTTCATTCAACCAACATTTATTGAAAGCCATTATGGTACCAGGCGAAGTGTAATTCTGAAACCACCTTGACATGTGTGGTTTGGCAGATATTGTTAAATACCTGAAACCTAGGCTCCGTTCTCTACAGCCTAATGAGGGAACCACAATTTACTTCCCCCACGTGAGTGTGCTGCACGAGAATCCAGTCCCCTCAGTCTGAGGAATGTGCTTTTCTGGGCTGTAACTAAATCTTCCAGCCTGCTGGCTCCCTGCCCCAGCTTTTTAGCCAGGTGTTAAGATTTGGGACAGGAGTGCAGTAACCAATCATCCATAAATATCACCCCTTTTTGATCACAGGGAATGAAGTCACTGGTACATTTAAGAACTGATTTCCCATTTATTCTGTTTGTTTGCAAAGTTTTTGTTACCATGGTTAAAAATACCCAGATTGTTACTTCATCTTGGATGATAAATTACTGAGGGGTGAAATGTGTAAATTCAGAGATTTTTGGAGGACTCCCATATGGCAGTTGGGGGCTCATTCAGAGGCTCAAGTCTTGGTGCTTATAGAGCTGACTCTGCCCTTTAGAAGATGTGTTGATTAATTCTGCCTGAGGGAAAAAGAGGTCAGGTCACGGCTTGAGCCAGTCTATCTAACTGGGTGCCAATTCTTGTGGAGTCGTTCTCTGTTGTATCTCTTACTGATTTTCTCCTTTCTCTTCCCATTGCCTCTCTGCTACCTTTGGCCTTCATTTGCTCTCCGCTGACTCAGGGCAAGAGATGTTCACTAGTGTCTCTGGTTCTGGCCCCGGTGAAATGCCCACACTGCAGCTAGGTGCAGGAGAGGAAGTCCAGAACAAGAGCTCAGTCTCCTGTCCCCAGATCTTCCCACTGAGCCACTCGGCGGCCTTTTGCATGGCCCTTCGCAGTGCTTTCAGGCACCACTGGCTTCCTTCCATTTATATAGGCTGGAGAAGGTCTAGTTTCACAGCTGATTCTCTATCTGCTTTGCAAACTTACATCTTAAAGGTCCTAAGGATACGATGCCTCTGTCTCCAGCTACACAGAAAATGGCTCTTTTCTTCCAGATTCTCCCTGGATTAAAAAAAAAGAAAAAAAGAGGGCAAGGGAATTTTTATCTTTGGTCTTACGTATAATGTAACCCTGCATCAGAGCTCCTAGATTTCTAACCTAGCGGCCTCTGTGACTTGGTGGATTTGCATATGCCTGGCCAGCGACTGCTGTCAGCTTTGGACTGTTTTCTGAGTCCCATTCACCCGTGGCCTGGCTGGACGGGACATGCTTGGCAGCTATGGCCACTGAGCCCTCACACAGTGGTGGCAGCTCAAGACCCCCAAGAGACAGAGTAGAGGGCTCTAGGCATATATTCACTCAGAGTGACCGTGAGGAATAGCGGGAAGGGAATGAGCAGAGAAACACAGTAAGTGTTCTCTGTGCAGTACTCTGCGCACCTCTTAGTGCTGAAGACATAGACTCTGGGTCTGGCATGCGTAGGCCTGAGTCCTGCCGCCTCCTGGCGGTGAGACCTTCGCCAAGTTGCTAAGTCTCCCGTTGCCTTGGGATTCCTCGTCTGTGGGGACGTGGATCGTATCTCGCACACAAAGGGTTGGAAGGGATCAAAGCAAGTCGTGAATAGCAAGGCACTTGCACAGCATTGGATCAAATGTGTTTTCCAAGGGCAGGAAGATTTTGGAAAAGGGCTGTAAAGAGGATCTCCTCGAGACAACAGCCTACTAGCTTTCTAGAGTATATTAAACTTTCTGTTTCCCTGGAGAAATAGTGGTAAATCAAACCTCAGCAGGCCAAGTTACCCCAGTGACACACACGCAGGTATTCTTCAATTCCGTACGCCATTCACAGAGTAACCACTCAAATGAGCCATGTCCCTCGCCCCGTGACTGCTGAGGAAGAATAAGGAACCATTTGCTTGTGGCCTGCCTATGGAATTAGTCACAAAAGTCACTGCCCCCAGAAACATTTTTGTACTACCACAGTAAGCAAGCTTTAATTCATGATTCCGTAGGTAATTTCTCCATGATTTTACATATTTTATTTCTTAAGCTGTAGAGGGTGTGGGATTGCAATATTAGGTTCATCTCCTGAATTTGACAAATGAACGTGAAAATGTCATCTTATTTTTGAGAGGCAAACCTTCTGTTATATATTTATCTATCCGCCGACACATTAAATCAAATTGAGTATATACTGTCCCCAAACAGCTTCTGGAACACAGTGAGTCCTCAAAACAGGGTTGTTGTCATAGTTAATGTACTAACCAGTGTATTAATTTAAACATTTCATTTCTATTTTTTAACATGTAAATTGTAGCCTCAGATTGGCTTGAATTCTTTTTTAGGACAGGACATTTTTATTGTTGAAATTCTAAAACTGTCTGTCTGTATTCTTTTATAATAAAGACTATCAGCCAAACCAAGAAAGATTATTTTTATAATATGAAAGGATATTTTAAAAAAAATAGGACAAAAACCTAATTAGTTCCCTTTGGGATTGCTACCCAAAGTCCAAGCTTGGGTATTTAGGCAAATGGCTAGTGATAACCACTAGGATTATTGAGTGGCTTAGGAGACAAAATGTCACACAAAAGATTTTCAAATCAGTTTCTTTCAAACAGTAATTTAGAGTTACAGGCCTTCCCAGGGCCTAAGTTACAAGTCCCCAAAGATCATCTGTGGCCTCAACAGCCTGACAGCTAATGCCACTTTAGGAATAATTTTCAAGTCAATTCATTAAGTATAAACCCAAACACATTGGAATTCTAAGGTTTGTTTTTTTTTTTTTAAATGGACATGGATTAAAAGGAAAAACTTTTTTAAACTGCAAAATGTACTGATGAATATTGACCAAAGGTGGCCAAATTACCATAAATGAAATTCCACCTGGTAAGGAAGAGCACCCAGGAAGGCATCGGGGACGAGGTTCATGGAACATCTGGACAAAATCGCAATTTACAGTGAAATGCTAATTCTGCAGAGAAAACATCACAACTAGTGAGTATCAAAATTCGTTGTGATGTTTTCTCTGCAGAATTAGCATTTCATTTTAATGGGCTTCTATCTGGCTGTAGAAAAATATCTATAAAAATATCTATAAAATATATAGAGAGATATTTTTATAGATATATGTATCTTTTATATATTTATATAAATATATAAAATATATATATAGATATATAGATATTTTCTGTTTTTATAATATATCTATATATAGATACAGATATTTTCTATATCTATTTTTATATGGATATATCTGTATCTATAAAAATATCTATAAAAACTAAACTCTAGTTTGATATTTTTCTATAGCCAGATAGTATTAGTCCATTAAAATGTTCTGGCATAAAAACACCAGTGCCCCTGCTCTACAAAGAATGTACATTATTACTGGCAACTGTTCCAAGTTTCCATGGGACATTTTTGCTATCTGACTATCCCCTTTCATTATCTCTGCTCACAGGGATGAGGCCAGCACCCAAGCCATCAGGTGCTGTTAGAAACGTGTCAGTGGACTCTCCCCACCCCACTAAGAAGCCAGGTAAGGAATAAGACGCTGACTTTTATGGCGGCTCAGCTCTGAAATTTCAGTGGTAACTGCAGTGTCGATTCTTGTGGCCAAAACAGCAACGTCCACACATACCCCAAACGATCAGAACCATGCACACAGTGCATGGGTATTGCCAGGAAAACATTTGCAATACTGTCTTTTGAGGAATTACAAGTGCTCTGTGCACAAATTAAAGATTAATAGGAACTTTCAAAATTTTGCTGTCATGTAATTTATTACAATATACTTTTGCCTGCCTGAGATGACTTATGTTTCTGATTTAAGAATATGCTCTATGTAACAGGCCAAAAGTATGAATCCGGTGAGTCGGTATACCTTTGCATTGAATAAGGTTTTATTAATGTCAACCACAAGTACACCCCAGAACACACACACACACACACACACACACACACAGTGTGTCTTTCTCTTACTAGTAAACGAGGCATTTTCCTGGACTGACAATTTTTCTGTAAGATTTTAAAACCAACATATATTATGCCAAAAAAGACATAAATTTTTAAACTATAGCACAAGGCTTAAAATGAGGATTAAGGTCGGCTTCTCCAGGCATCTCTGATCTTGGCAACCTTTCTGCAAATTATAAAAAGGTGCCTGTTTACCCCACCCTTTAGGTAGACAATGAAAAACCCATGCCCTTCCTCTGGGCTGGCAGCCTCACATGAGAACTCATAAGTCGGTGAGCAGAGCAGGTGCTAAACTTTGTCTTCCGCTCACAGCTCCCAGGCCAAGTGTCTTTGCGTGGTACGCAACTGCCATGACTTGTCACAGCCAGCCTGCTCCCCGCAGGTACAGATTTGTTGTTTCAGCCATCAGGGTTACTTTGATGTCGTCTTTGAGAAGTTCTAAAGGTTCCTGTTTAATTATAATTACATAATAGAGCTGAGAATGGGGTAAAACACCCACAAAAGGAGAAATTGTATGCTCTAACAATTTGAAACTAAAATGGCATAAGAAATTGCAGGCTTAAAATAAAAGGCAGCTGGGGATAATGAAGTTCAGAAGTGCTACTGTTAAGTCTGTATGGAAACTGAAAGATGTTCAATTCTATATGTGTATACAGCCTTTCAAAAGGTAGATACACCTATATACAGTCATCTCTCGGTATGCATGGGGATTGGTTCCACTCAGATACTAAAATCTGAGGATGCTCAAATCCCTCATATAAAATGATATGGTATTTGCATATAACCCCTGCACATCTTCCCATAAGCTTTAAATCATCCCTAGATTATTTATAATACCTAATATAAATACTCGTTATTATACTGTATTTTGTGTTTTGCAGCTGTTGTTATTTTTATTGCAGTTTTAAAAAAATTTTCCATCCACAATTGTTTGGATTAACTGATGGGAAACCCAAAGATATGAAGGACCCAACTGTATATTCGTGTATAACGAGGACATGTTTTCTAAAGTGCTTTATTGTCCGTGGGTGCATTACCAACATTAATTTATAGGAATATCAGAATACATTATTGGTGTGCACTTTTCTGTAGAATCTGTTCCCTGTCATCCAACTGCTAATTATCAAACAATATTTTTTTGTTTTTAAAAATCCTGTGGGGTTTTTTTATAGTGAATATTTATGATGGCTTTATCTAAAATACAATTTCTTATCCACAATCGCAGGGACTCGCCGCCCACCCTTACCACCCAGACCTACTCCCCCACGAAGAAAACCTTTACCACCAAATAATGTCACTGGAAAGCCGGGAAGTTCAGGTACGTTAGTCAGGTACCTTCCTTCTCCTGCCATGATTTCAGTTTTACTAGCCCTCCTTGGCATGCTGACAACAGGCATGCCATTGATGTGTGTGACACGTGTGTGTTGGTCCCGAAGACTAGGCGCTGTAAATGACAGCTTTCAGGACTTAGAACCTGACTCTTGGACTGAAAGAAGGAAACCATCCCTCTGCATCTAGGCAAGTTTGCTTCTTAGATGTCTGAATGCTTGGAGCCTAGGTTGAAGCTGACTCAGACCCTTCAACAAACAGATTATTTTGGACAAGATGCTGTACATTGCCAAGGCCCCAGGAATAACCAATGTGATGACTTGTCATTGACTTATCGTTCTGCCTCCTGAAATGAAATCCTCTGGGTCTCACTGAAAGCTCTCCTATCGAACAGCCCTCATGCCAGTCCTGGTATTACGGTGCTCAGGGAAAGATTTGGGACAGAAACATTCAGGGTGACCGAAAGGCCTGGCCTGTGCAACAAGACAGGAATGTGTTTTGGAGGCAGGCTGCCTCTTACCTCCATGCCTGGGCACACACGTCGCTCCTCCCTATAGAATGACTCCTCCCAGGCTTGTGATACTCAGACTTCATCCTTTTCTGTAAAATCCTTCCCTAACTTCCCAAGGTTACTCTTAGCGCTGCTGTTTTTCCATTCTTGTCCTTGCCATACACCTCCGTTAGAGCAGAGGAAAAATCATTTCGGACCTGTTTGTTTGCATACTTCACTCCCTCTACTAGTCTGTGAGCGCTGCGATGACAAAATCCTTGGTATATTCTCTCTGAATTCCCAGAACCAAATCCAGTGCTTAGCACATAGCACATAGAGAATATTTGATAAGTCATAACCAAGTGAATAAATGAATGAAAAAATTGACCCAGTTCAGAGGGCAGCTTTACCTCATATTCAAGGCCCTTCACCCAGGACCTGCCAACAAATCACAGCACATTCCCTGTCTCTCCTCCCTCTCTCCAAACCACTACTTCTTAAGTATCTTGTAGGTGGAACCAGGATAGAAGTGTTAAAACAGCTGTGAAAGACGAAACTGATGAAGACTGACGTGAAAGGGAGCGGAATGTCCCTCTTTTCACAGGATGAAAGGAGGGTATTGTGACGTAGCTTGTAGGATGTCCCTTGTGCACAGCGAACTCTAGGCCATTTTCCCATGTGCTGAAGGAGAGAGCAGCCTCCTATCCATGCCTCTGGGGCCTTTCTGAATCAAGGTCCAGTGGCATGGCCTTGCTAGGAGACTGGGCTTCCTAGTAAGCTGGGGCATTTCTTGTACTGTAACCTGGGGCAGCTGTGACTTGAGCTCCAGCAGCTTGCAGATCAGACCGAATGAGCCACAGGCTGGTGCCCGAGTGTGTCAGTTGGGGGCCCCTCTAGAGCAGTGCTGTGAGGCTGGGTGCCTTCAGAAGGTTTGGTACCTGCCACGTAAACCCTTGTTCTCTCCCGTCAGTAAGCGTAGCTTTGGGACAGCCCACCCAGCCTGAAGAACAACTCTAAATACATTCCACTTCTGAGACGAACCCTCGTCCCTGCTCTCCAACCCTCACCCTCTACTATTCATCTCTAACTCGAGGGAAATGGCTGTACTGAGGAGCCAGACAGGACTTGAGGGCTCTGGTACAGATTTGGCCTGATTAGCATCACAAGAAGTGGATCTTGAATCCAGCCCAATGTCCTGGAGTCCTCTGAGGCTCTCCCACATATGCCTGGGAGCAGAGTCTGGGACTGCCATGTGGCATCTGCCCCTTGCCCTCAATCTCCAGATCTACCCAGGCTTTGCCACGCCAGCATTTCCCGTTGACTCTGCCAACGCTGAGAAGCCCTTGTGGATTGCATCGCAACTTCCCTTGGGTTTTGCTTGCCCTCTTATTCTGGCCCACACCCTCTAGGGTCAGGAACATGCATCCCCGGAGGCCAGGCCAGAGGCCTATCTGACTACTGACCAGTGATTCCAAGCCGGGCCGTAGTCCCCGGGCCAGGCTTGTATCCCTTGACTCTCTATTGCCCAAGAGTGACTCCTCCCAGGCGGAACATAAAATTCAGTCTCGTCTCCTTTCCACTGTCTAAACATGAGACTTGCTGGACCTTGGGATGGATCCAGTTTTAAGAATGGAGGAGTCACTGTTGAACGTAATAATCAAGGTAGCACCATACTGGCCACCGGGACAGAATCACAGATGTTAACCCTGGGAATCTTTCTTCCTTCTTCTCTCACCATCTTCCTTGCTGGTCACTGAGACTCCCTGACTCTCATGTTCACCCCTTCCATCCAGGTCCACTGCTTTCGCTTGTTCACCTTCCTTTCTCTCGCCTACACAGCTGCCTCAGTCCCTAAAAATAACATCCAGATCCCTGGTATGCAGCTTCTTTCGTGATCGGCCCTTCCTTCCCGCTCCACGCTCAGCTCTTACTGAACCCCTTTGAGCTACCTGTTCAGGCATTTCTCTGCCCCTCCAACCCGACAACCCTCTGTCTTTCCTCATAAACATAACCACCCCGTCTTCCTACGCACCCCTTCTGTGATGCTGTCCAGTACTTTTTCATAATACCTGTAATGCTTTGATATACTTGGCTCATACATCTATCTCCATCAAGCATCAGGTTTGGTTTTCTCTCCAAGGCTGGCCTATAGTGCCAAGCCACATGGTTAGTGCTTGAAAACATTGACTGAATAAATAAATGTTTATAGGAAGCTTGGCAGTGTTCCTATAAAGCTTGACTACTTTGGCTCTACATTACAGGAATCACTTCATCAGGCCCAATAACTATACCACCCCTGAGGTCGACAGTCAGACCTACCGGAACTCCCTGGGACAGAACAGCCACAGATATAAAGCAACCAACGGTCCCTGCCTCTGAAGAAGAACTGGGTTCGTATGGCAGTCAGTTCTCACTGGATGCTTAGCTGTGAGGTGCAAACGATTTTAATTGGTGTTGGGATCGGGGGAGTCTCAGTTCGGGGTCTTCTATTTTACTCCATTTTATGATTAATATGGTTCCTTTAATTTTAAAAATATACTTATTTTCAACACTTCCTTATAGAGTATTATCCTTCCCTTAGCAGACATGGAAGAAATTGCCTAACTTTGGTTCATAAAGATCTAGACTACCTAATGCTACTACTAAATCATGTCATTACCAACTACACATATCTTAATTTATTAGTACATATTAACCACTTGGTTACAAATTTTAATTCATTACTCACACTATAGAACACATCACAGCAGGACACAACTAAAGGCCTTATATTGTGGAGGAATATGTATAATTTTTAAAAAACTGCAAGCCATTTACAAGAAGAAATATTATCTTTAATCTACAACTTTTCCTTGTATTGTGAAGTTTTTTATCTTTTGCCAAAATTGTTCATTATCTTCCATTCTCAGAAAATATAACTGACTTTAGCTCAAGCCCGACAAGAGAAACTGATCCTCTTGGGAAGCCCAGATTCAAAGGTACGTATAATTGGCTGTGAATCTCACATTTGACAAGGCTATTTTTGGTAGGTGTATCAGTCAGTTACTGCTGTGTAACAAACCATAAATCTTAGCAGCCTACTATAATACTAAGAATTTATTTTTCATGTGTGCAAATCAGCAGGCTGACAGCTGATCTAGGATGTGTTTAGCTTAGTGGTTCTGCTTGTAGCAGCAGGTACAGCTGGGCCTCTTGTAGGTTGGACTCAGGTCCACCCCACATGTGTTTACTCTGATGCCCAGGCTGATGAATAACCAACAGTGACTCAGGAGAAGCCATTTTCATGACAATGCAAAATCAAGAAACGGGTGTCCAAATGCAAAACCACATTTTAAACTCCTTTTTGTATCACATTTATCGGTATCCACTGGCCAAAAAATGTCACATAGCCAAGTTCAAATCAAGGATTGGGGAAGAATATTCCTCCTATGGGCATCTAGAATAGTTCTGAACAACAATCTACTACAGTAGGAGAGATATAATATGATACAGAGCCCAGTATTTGCATTTGTCATTTTTCTCTGAAATGTAACATTTGATGAATTTTAACATAGGTATACACCCATGAGACCATCATCACAGTCAAGATAATTAACACATACATACCTTCCAAAAGTTTCGTCATGTATCTTTGCAATCGCTTTCTCTTTTTCCTCCCACTCAACCTCCAGTTCTTAGGTGACAACAGGCCTGCCATACTACAGATTAGTATGTACTTTATGAAATTTTATATAAATGAAAACATACAGTATGAACTCTGGTTGTCAAGTTTCTTTTATTGGCATAAATATTTGGAGATTCATCTATGTTGCTGCTGCATGTACATCAATAGTCCATTCCTTTTTTTTTTTTTTTTTTTTTTTGAGACGGAGTTTCGCTCTTGTTACCCAGGCTGGAGTGCAATGGCGCGATCTCGGCTCACCGCAACCTCCGCCTCCTGGGTTCAGGCAATTCTCCTGCTGCAGCCTCCTGAGTAGCTGGGATTACAGGCACGCGCCACCATGCCCAGCTAATTTTTTGTATTTTTAGTAGAGACGGGGTTTCACCATGTTGACCAGGATGGTCTCGATCTCTTGACCTCATGATCCACCCGCCTCGGCCTCCCAAAGTGCTGGGATTACAGGCTTGAGCCACCGCGCCCAGCTAGTCCATTCCTTTTTATTGCTGACAGTATTATATGGATATTCAATAATTTGTTTCTTTGGCAAACCTGTTTGTGGCATTGCTGTTTTTTTTTTTTTTTTTTACATTACTGATAAAGGTGTTATGACCATTCACGTACATATCTTTGTAAAGACATATGCTTTCACTCCTTTGGACAAATACCTAGGAGGGGGGTGGTTAAGTGACATAGGAATGTGTATGTAACATTTTAAGAGACTGTTTTCCAAAGTAGTTGTACTGTTTTACCTTCTGTCAGCAGAGATGAGAGTTCTAGGGCCTCCAAATCCTCCCCAACACTTAGTATGGTCAGTCTTTTTTATTTCAGCCATTTAAATAGGTGCGTAATGGTATCTGATTATGGTTTTAATTTGCAACCACCTAATGATTAATAACATTGAATATCTTATGTGCTTATTTGCCATCTATATATCTTTTTAGCTATTTCCAATTTTTTGGCCCATTTTTAAAAATGGAGTTGCTTGTTTACTTAATGTTGAATTTTGATAATCTGTATTTTCTGGATACAAGAACTTTTTTAGATAGAAACTTTGAAAGTCTTTTTTCCCAGGGTGTGTCTTCTAATTTTAATGACGCTCAGTATATCAATTTTAAGAGAATTCACTTTCTTTCATAGATACAGAGCTATTCAGATGAGTTTGTTTTTTTTTTTTCTTTCCGGTGGTCAGGGCGGGTTGGAATTTCACTTGGTTGCCAAGGTTGGAGTGCAGTGGTGCAATCTTGACTCACTGCAACCTCCGCCTCCTGGGTTCAAGTGATTCTCCTGCCTCAGCCTCCCAAGCAGTTGAGACTATGGGTGCCTGACACCATGCCCAGCCTGTCTTTTTGTATTTTTACTAGAGACAGGGTTTCACCATGTTGGCCAGGCTGATCTCAAACTCCTGAGCGCCGTTGATCCACCAGCCTCAGCCTCCCAAAGTGCTGAGATTACAGGCATGAGCCACCATGCCCAGCCTGCATTTTATTTTGGGTATCTAGAACCTTACATTTAATATGGCTCCTGACACTGGTACGTTTAAATCTTCATCTTGCTATTTGCTTTCTATTTTACCCATGTATTATCTGTTCCTTTTCTCCTGCTTGTCAGGCTTCTTTTAGGTTGAGTATGTTACAATTTCATTTAATCTTTTTTGTTGTCTTACTAGCTGTAACTTTATTTAACTTTTTGAGTGATCGCTTTGGGGTTTATAGTATGTATCTTTAATTTATCACAACCTGATTCCAGTGATAATGCTTCACATCTAAGAATCTCACACTAGCATAGCTTTACTCCCCTCTTGGCCTTTGAACTATTATTGGCATATATTTTACTTTTACATGTTATATACATTACAGTAAGGTGTTTTTATGTTGAAACACTAAACTATTTTTGAGAGAGAAAGAATGAGAAAAATATCGTGTATGTTACTATGTGTTCACTGCCACTGTGCTGCTCATCCCTTTGGTGGCTCCAGATTTCTGTCAGCATCATTTCCTTCCCATCAGAAAGACTTCCTTTAATATTTCTTTTCATATGGGTCTGCTGGTAAAAAAAAATTCTTACAGATTTTGTATGTCTAGAAGAAGTGTTTTGCTTTTAAGGTATTGTCACTAGTGGTTAAATTCTAAATGATGTCTTTTATTTCAGTATTTGAAGGTGCCGTTCCAATGCCTCTCGCTTGCATTCTTTCTAGTAAGAAATCTGCCACAGTCCTATCCTTGTTGTTCTGTATATGACATGTCCTTTTTTTCCCCGCCTCCTTTAAGGACTTTCTCTTTCTCACTAGTTTTGGGAAACATGATTATGATCGGCATAGAGTTTTCTACATTTTTGTTGCTCCTAGGTATCTTTGAGCTTTTTGGATGTATGGGTTTTAAAAGTCTTACATTTGGGAGATTTGGGATCATTCTTTCTTAAATTATTTTTTCTCCCCACCCCTTCTTTACATCAGGTACTCCAATTACATGTACATGAGACCACCAGAAATTGTCCTACATCTCAATGATGTTCACTGCTTTTTCGTTTGTATCTTCTCGCCCTCTTTTTGGATAGTTTTTATTGCTATGTCTTCGAGTTCACTAATCATTTATTCTGCAGTATCCTATAGGTATTAATTCTGTCCCATGTCTTTTGCATCTTCTATCTTGTAGCTTTCATCTCTAGAAATTTGATTTGGGTCTTTTTAAATATCATACACGTCTTTACTAACTTTTTGAACATGTAGATTATAGCAATAATGATAATTCTCTGATTATTCTAACATCTATGCAAGTTCTACATTGGTTTCAAATGATTTTTTTCCTCCTTATTATAGGTAATATTTTCCTATGAATTACACCTGTTAGGTGCTAGGTTTTTTTTTTTTTTTTTAATTCCTAGCATATTCTTGAGTTTTCTTCTGGGATACAATAAAATACTTGAAGTTACTTGATTTTTTTCAGTGTGTTTTTTAAAATTTATTGGGTGGGACCAGAACTGTGTTTAGTATAGAGCTAATTATTTTCCACTACTGAGGTAAGACCTAGTGCCCCATAAATTATGAGTTTAAACCATGATTAAGGGGATCAAATTACTTCCAGATATTAGCATAAGCTAAACCTATTTAGTAAGTAAACCAACACCACCCTATATCATGTGTCTCAGAGGCAAGATTTTGAATTTTCCCAATTTGAACCATCTACATCATGGCTTTCAACCAACTGCTTATAATACGGGACTAAATGTCTTCAAATTAATTGTATTTATGAGCTCACTTCCATCTTCTTCACAAGTTTCAAAAATGTTAAATGTCAAGGGTCCTCTCTCTCGTAGGTCCTCATGTGCGATACATCCAAAAGCCTGACAGCAGTCCCTGCTCCATTACTGACTCCGTCAAACGGTTCCCCAAAGAGGAGGCCACAGAGGGGAATGCCACCAGCCCACCCCAGAACCCACCCACCAACCTCACTGTGGTCACCGTGGAAGGATGCCCCTCGTTTGTCATCTTGGACTGGGAAAAGCCACTGAATGACACTGTCACTGGTAAGATCATGGCATGAGGACTGTTGCGGTGGGAAGCTTTGATAACAGGATACCCTGGGAGTTGGGTGCCCTGGGTCAGTGGTGACATGTGAAGCATATCTGGGGAGGAGCCAGACTAGCAGTTTTGCTGTCTTGAAGGTGTATGATTGTCAACAGTGTCATACGACGAGAAAAGATCCTCGTTGTCCTTGTTAGGGGCTCCCTATTAATTTAGTAGATCTCTTCAAGCTGCATTCTTTCCATTTCCTCTCAAAACTCCTTTTCACACCATAAAGAAGCAGCTAGTCTTTCATCACCCAGAAAATTACAGAAAACACATGAGTTACCATTGCTGATTAATATTAAACTAATTTTTCTTTCACCAACCCAATTTCTAATTGACCTAGAACTTTCTAGCAGGCTAAAGGTGACTTCAAGTGACTTAGGATAAATAAAAATAAAAATTCTATTCCTGATTAATTTGCTGCTCATCTTAAGAAATGTTGATTCCGTTACCACCCACCAGTTCTTCTAAAAATGATTACGAAAACTAGGAAACCGTGAGACACTCTTTGAATTTGTTATACAACAGTTTGATTCTCCGTAACAAAGAGGATAGTCAAACCAGAGGAGGAAGAAACAAGACTAGCAAGCTGAATCAGGTAGAGGACATAGCAAATAGCACGGTAGGTGAATTCCTGCCACCTGTCACCTGAACTGGCTTTACAAAAAGGGACTGAGATACAGTAGAGTGAACTATATTCCTCCCATGCGCTGGCTTCATTCTCTGAGTTGATGGGTACATATTCACCTCTAGTGAAGACATCCAAGTTCAGTTGCTTCTACATGTCCCTTCTATACTGAAGTAGAGAAAAGCACACCCAAAAAACTGGCCATAGCCTGGATCCTTGGGCAACTTCAAGTTGTTATCAGCATCATACATAGTCTGATAGTCCAAGAGGATGCTGACATAGATTTCAATCCCAGACGAGCTTTATATTAGATATGCAACTTGTGTATAGAATTAGCCTGTTTGAGCCTTAGTTTCCTTAGGTGTAACAATAATAATCCTTATTGTTATCAACTTATCCTGAGGAGAAAATTAAATAAGATATTTGAATATATTAGCATAAATTAGAAATTGTTAATGTTTATCAGTAGGAACGATTTTTGTAATGTTGGATTTATGAAAAGGCATTAGCACTTGAAAGCATTAAAAATTGGAAAGATATATTTATAAAGCACAAAACAAATGGATATTCAAAAGCTAGAATTCTGAAATTCTAAATGTCTTTTTAATTAGGAAGGAAGCTTCTAGATCCATTTTGAAAATTCTGATCTTCCAGAAAAATAAAATTATTATATCAGCTTTTAAAACTTGAGCCAAATGGAAGTCAGAGAAGACAGGCAATAGATGTTTCAACTAGTACTGAAAGGCAGGGCTAATATTAAGAAGAATGTCATACGGTTGATAAGAAATGTTCCAAGCCCAAGGTGCTTTTTGAAGGTGGCTGCTTTGGTGCGTAACCAACTGGAGTGTCATATAAATTGTTCTTTTGGTGATTTAGCAAGCACATGAACCTTTCCTATTGAAGTCTTAAAACTGTTAGAGTCACATTTTCAAACTACAACTCCAGGATGATAAATCATAATAGAAGCAGCATCATAATAGATACCACCCGTCGAACAAAGTACATGCAAAATACTATTGGGCACTTTCCATCTGTACCTAATTTAATCCCCACAAGCAGCACTATAAGGAGATATTATTAACATTGTACAGATGGGAAGACTGAGACCAAGGTCAAGGCAAGGGGCTTAATTTGCTGTTTCCATTAAGTCATGTGGTTTCCTTTTGTTTTTTGTTTTTTGTTTTTTTTTTTTTAATCCATTTTACTTGCATGGCAAGTCCTTCCATCTTCTTCTAACAAATATCCCTTCACAGCTGATGAAAAAATATAAAATGGATTAATTCAGAATTCTCTTTCTTCCCCTCTCTCTTTCCATTCTGTTAGGAGAGCCAGCTGAGAGATAGTTTAGGATCAGAAAGTCTCAGTGACAGTACTAAATAACAATCATCAGTCCTTTAATGGCTGCAATGATTGTATCAGATCCCTGTCTTCCAGTTTAATTTTTAATTTTTGGAAGACTGGTCATACAAAATTGTTCAGAAAAAAATTATCCTCCTCTTGGGGTTTTTTAAAATATATGATTACAAATCCTCCTAAGGCCAGGCACAGTAATCCTGTACACAGTAAGGCTGTAATCCTAACACTTTGAGAAGCTGAGGCAGGCGGATCACTTGAGCTCAGGAGTTCAAGACCAGCCTGGGCAACATGGCAAATCCCTGTCTCTACAAAAAAATTAGCTGGGTGTGGTAGTGCACTACTCAGGAGGCTGAGGTGGGAGACTAGCGTGACCCTGGGAGGTAAGGGTTGCAGCGAGCCGAGACCCTATCTCAAAAATAAATAAATAAATAAATAAATAAATAAATAAATAAATAAATAAAAATCCTCCCCAAATATAAATTGATGACTTGGGGTCTACCTGGGTTATTCTCATTTTTTATTTTATTTCCAATAGTCATCTCATGCCATTGGGCTCAGTGCTAACAGCAGAAAGCCCTAATATAACTTGCTAGATCTTTGACCGTCTTTTCACCTTATCTGATGCCCAGTACCTGCGTATTTCTTCTTATTAATGGAGCTGATTTTGAGTAGGGTTTTGTTGTTTGGTTTTTTGTTTCTTTTTAGTCCTCTCTATCATCTCATCACATGCATTAAACTCAGTCTCAAATGAGAGCAGGGAAACCAATTCACAAATGTGTAAATTGCATTCCCTTATTCTAAATTTCTTTCCCTTTTGATGAGCCCTGCAAGTTTATAGAAATGTGCCTTTAAGTGAAATTTAGGCAGACGTCTATGCAGACTTTAAGGACATTATTTTGTTTTTTAATGCAAGGAAATTAAGTGAGCATATGTAGGCAGTGGGTACAAAAACCCACTACTTCTATAGTTCAAAATAGTGAACTACAGAAAAGTAGTTTATTATTTGGTTAACATTTATTTGCTGCTGTGATACTCAAAAGAAGTTTTCTGCAGCAATATCATGTATCCAGTAGCCTTTACCCCAACTATACTGCAAACCCTGTGGAGCAGAGAACAGGTCTACGCAGGCACCGCGGCTCATACACTGCTTTCCAAAAGGGGGGCTTTGCAGCAGGGGCGGACTGTCTATCTGACTCACCTACCAAAATCAAAGGCTATGTACCCAGAGCAACCACAGGCATGGCATGGGTCTTCACCAGTTACTAGGCTTTCCTTCACCTCTGGTAAAAGAAATGCAGAAATGGTCAATGAGCAAATCCCCAAATGCTTCTGGAACCTTCATCTGCTGACCATCCCCCTATAGAAATTGCCAATGTGTAAGATCAGCATGTCTCTAGAACTTCAGTCTCAACTGGCCACTTTATGTCAGTGACTTTTTTATGCTATTAGCTTCAGGAGCGATTAAATCAGCCAAGAGATAAAGACAATCATCTGTTGGCTTTTTTCACTTTACAGAATACGAAGTTATATCCAGAGAAAATGGGTCGTTCAGTGGGAAGAACAAGTCCATTCAAATTACAAATCAGACCTTCTCCACAGTAGAAAATCTGAAACCAAACACAAGGTAAGCCACCAGTGCTATTCCAGGTAGATTCTGAGAGTGCCAAAGTTATAACCATGACAAAGGAAAGAAATGGTATCATCTCTGTCTTGAGGGAGGCTCTAGCTTCCACTGCACTCTTGGGTTTTCTATACACAGCACAGGATACCTCTGGAGTCATGTTTTGCAAATATCTGAATTATTGGTGGGTTTAAAGGAGCTGACAAGATTATCTTGTTAATTAATAGTATGGCATCTTTAAAAATTTTTTGATAACAAACGTTGATATTAACTAAACATTAGAGGAAGAAAGTCTGTGGAACAGTGACAATTGGACTGTGTATGATGTAAACTACATTTGAAGCACCAAAAAATTAAAATGTTATGCTGGAAAGGAGATGGCAAGTCTTATGCCAAAATATAGGTGAACGTTTTTAGTAAGTTAATACTTAAAATAACTACAGACTAGTCTCAGGCACAGCAGTTCCTTGCTTTGGGACCTTTCATCATGGATAAAATGAAATAGAGCTGTGACAAGAGTTACGTATCTTTAACATTGTTATATGATAACTTTTCTAAGTATCCCTATTTATTACACACTGATACCAGATTGTTCATATTGCTGTACAGTTTTGTGGGTTTTTTCAGTGTAAAAGATCCAACATTTTATTAGTTCATTTTATGATTGAAAGAAAAATAAGGGTCTTAGACATTTCTGGGAATGTAGTATGGAAGCTCCACGTTTTTTTTTTTCTCATAATGTTCACGTTGTTATCAGTTGATTGAATTGAATTGACTATTGACAGTGACACTCAAAAGAGCCTATCTTGGCTCTAACAGTAGGAAGACTCCTCTAATCTTTTTGCAGAAAAGGAAGCACCGTCTAATTCATTACAAGCAGTTCATTGTGTATAAACTGGTCCCATACTGCAAAAAGAGTACTTCTTTCACAAGCATGGAGTTTTTCTTTAACGTTCTCTATTGTAAGATATATTTGACAACTGCTGATTTTCTTAAAAGATATTTAGCCAAAATAAGCATATGTCAGTAAAAGCCCATTTAATCTTGGTTCTGTTTCTTCAGTATTTCCTTGGATTGAGAGGGGGAGAAAGCCTGTTTTTACCACAATATATTTGAGGAATGAGTAAAAGAAAAGATCACTTAATTTGGACTTTTTAATAGGTGAATTTGTGCTTATGAAACTTGGTTTTTCTCTTCAGTTTTCTTCTTTTTATTTCAGTTAATAAAAAATGACTCAAGTACAATATAGTCATTGAAAGGCACCCAGTTTCTAAATGTTCATTGTGGTTTTTTTCTGAATTGGACTGTCCTCAGATCTCACAGTGCACCTACTAGCTCATGACCTGAATGTTGAATACATTTATTCCAGTATCATTTTAAACCCAATGTGTTTGGAAAAGGTCTGCATTTCCATTCAGCTAATATTCATTAAGTATGGCTACACACATGAATAAACATGGTGGCTGCCCTTGAACCCAAGGCTGGAGGGGAGGCAGTTAATATTCCACACAACTATTCTTATGTCGAGTATTCTACGTGAAGTAGCGAGAACTCTAAAGGAAGCATGCCCAAGGTGCTATGGGATCCCAGAGCGGGAGGCGCGACAAAACGTCTGCAGAAATTAGGAAAGTCTTCCTGATGCAGGTGACACCTGGCCTGAGGCTTGCAGGAGTAGGAGGAAGGAGCTAGCCAGGTGATTGCAGGGGAAGAGAGCGTTACAATAGTACATGTCAGTACATGGAGGCCCAAAATGGCATGGTTGTGTGCAGTGAAAAATGGGTCATTTTTTCCTGAGCCTGAGTAGTGATAAGTGGATGGAGGCAGAGGAACCAGAGTGGGAAGCCAGGCTGTAGAGGGACTTAAAAGTCAGATCAGGAAATGGGGAGACCCTGAAAGGTGGTAATTGAGAGGTTGACTTGCCCCAACATTTCATTTGTGTTTTCTTTTTGGCTTTTAGTTGGAATAACCACTTTTGATATTTGAGCCTATTCATACTGAGAAACAATTGCTGGAATACATCTAACAAAAAATAACTTATTGTTAATGTCTTGGCAAGAGTGGCTTTTGGGCATCTGACTTAACTGGTGAAGTAGGTGGGGAAAAGAAATGTGTCCCAGGGCTAAGATTTCCTTTTATTCTGTAATCACAGGTCATGGAGCTCACACGTAGCTTCTGGTTGTACTTGTTGTAGGACTCATTCTAGCTGTTTCTGGAGATTGCCTCAGACAGACAGCATGGCCCTCTATCCTACCCTCATCATATATGTCTTGCTTATTGCTTTTGTCTTTCATCATTGGGCCTTCTGAGGAGGACCCCCTAAAACCTATCCTTACTTCAAGATTAGCAAACCTCAGGCAAGTCCCTGTCTAAATTTATCTTTGGGAAAAAGCAATGTTAAATCAAGTTTAGGGCCTCCTAAATCAGGATCCCATGCCTATTTTACCACTAGCACTAATTTCAGGCCATTCATGTGTCTATGTGTGGCTTAATTATATTAAGAACTTAGAATGGTTCAATGAAATCCATCAGGATATCAGAATCATTAATTTTCATATCAATGATTTAGCCAGGATTATATTGGTAGTCCCTAACTAATGGATCATGACTTAGGAGTTGTAAATAGTAGTTTAAAGTAAAGAACATTTTTCCATTTACGGAAAAATGTAACACATATGGATGTAAAGGTGCTTTCATGAACACTGTGTTTAGTCCTCAATCCATAAAACTTTACGGTGGTCGGGGAGATTCTAGCCCCCGATGAGCCTGTGAATGCATTTCATACCTCTCTTACCAGGCACGTCACATTCGTGTGTCTGTTCAACAATGAGCAAAAATGTTTGGGAAAGATTATATTGAAACCTCCATTAGAAAAAAATAATGACTTATGGAAAATAAGGTAAATTACTTCAATTAATTTGAGATTTCTGAAGCTTCAAAGTATCTGGGGAAACAAAACTAACATACCCGTTAAGTAATTGGGGGGCATAAAAAAGCATACCAAGTAAGTGTGGGATTGATACAGAAGTTCTGTGATTTAGGAACAAAAGCTTCATAGAATACCTGAGACTAGAACTTGATAAAGAATAGGACGGAAGGGGTAAGCCAGCAAGGAAACGAAAAGGAGCAACAGTATTTTTCTTTCTAATCAAATCCATACACATGATTTAGGTGAAATCCAAGTAGTTCTCCAACTTACTATTGACAGCAGAGCTACAGCCAGAGTAAGAAAGTCGTTAGTGTCCAAATAGCATGAAAAGCTTTTCTCATGCTACCTTGAGTTGTTAAGTCAAGGTTTCTTTCTGTTTTATTTCTTCTACCCAACCAAGATCCATGCTAATAAAGGACACCATAAAATAAAGAGGAAGTATGTACAGGATGTAGCCACCAGGTGGCTTTTATTAGCTGTAAAAAATAACTCTAGGCTGGGTGGGGCAGCTCACACCTGTAATCCGAGCACTTTGGGAGGTCCGGGCAGGTAGATCACCTGAGGTCAGGAGTTCAAGACCAGTGTGGCCAACATGGTAAAATCTCGTCTCTACTAAAAATACAGAAAATTAGCTGAACATGGTGGCAGGCACCTGTATAATCCCAGCTACTTGGAAGGCTGAGGCAGGAGAATCACTTGAACCTGGGAGGCAGAGGTTGCAGTGAGCCCAGATTGTACCACTGCCCTCCAGCCTGGGCAACAAGAGTGAAACTCCATCTCTCAGTCAATCAATCAATCAAGTCATATTTCAATGCTTGGGGGAAATCTTGAATCAAAATGTATGGTAAAGTTGAATTTTTAAAACAGATAAAGTTTGAATTATAGGTGTTAAAACTCCCCCGTGAAGTTCTGGAATTCCCTATTTGAATGACTGGAAGACGGATCACAGTCCGAAATAATTATTACAGCTCTGTTCTAATCCTAGGAAATACATGTAAATCATTTATGTTAGTAGCATTTTCCATCACTTGTCCTGACTGAAAAACATGAGATCTGAATTCAGATAGTAATTACTGGCTAAACTTTAGACACAGACGTGGTGGAGTAGAGTTTCACGGTAGAACACTTAACCCAGGAGAAACAAAGCAGGGATTCGAGATCTAGAGAGTGCTTTTATTAGAAGTTCCGAATTACCACAGCCTAATCCTAAAACAGAGTGACAGTGGACTATTCCCCCACTTTTCCTTTCACAGTGTATACCAACCTTCGCCTGCCTGTTTTTATGACATACGCAGGTTTTTATCTAGTCTGCAGAAGCTCAAATAATTGTCCAAAGGACCATCCAGCCACTGTTTTGCTAACGGTAGTTTAGCTCCACACCTAGCATTAGATGTTCTTGTCAATAGAGAGCCACATGGCTGTTCTAGGGTGCTGGGTGCAGCTCCCAAGGGTGGCACAGGGGGAGCTGCCCAGACTGCCTAGCAGCTGCAGTGGTTACATATATGCACAGGGCAGGGGGTGTCATTTGTGGCGAGATGTGATTGTTTTAGTCAAATGATGCAAAAGAGATCTGTTAACACAGGCAAATGTCATCTCTTTAGGGGATCCCTCTCTCATCCCCTACTCCTAAAATAAAACGTAGATATTGGCATCCAGCCGAATCACTACTCACCTAGCCCTCCCTAATACTTACTTTCCATTTATTTCTAACCTACAAGTCCTCTTCTAACAAAAAAACAAGTACTGTATGTTCTAAGTGGGAGCCAAATGAGAACACAGGGACATAAAGGAGGGAACAGAAACAGGCCCACTGGAGGGTGAGAGAAGGGAAAGGAGCAGACAAATCAACTATTGTGAGTGCTAGGCTTTATACCCGGCTGACAAAATAATCCATACAATGAACCCCGTGACACAAGTTTACCTATATAACAAACTTGCACATGTACACCTGAACCTAAAACAAAAGTTAAAAAAAAAAATCCTACCATACAATTACCCAAGAACACCAATCCTCTGTCTCCTTAGGCAACGTGTGGCTCTTGTTAAACTACGACAAAAATATTAAGAGCCTCTCCTA